AGTATAGTCCGGTGACATCTATATGGCGTTTTAAAGGTAAGGTTGTTTACCTCGCAGTCAAACTTCCTTCACCTTCGATTGGAACCAGTACTAACTCAAAACGGGGTTCAGGTGGAGTTATTTGACTTGAAAAGATACATATATTTTTATTGACCGCCAGTAAATGGGACAGAACAAAACACTTGGTAAAGAGATTACCTCAAAAAGCATCTGCAATAAGTGATCTCTTGACAAACGAACCGAAGTAAGTAGGTTGTAAGGACAGATCCATAACTTTGTTGCCGGAAGCGAGTCGCCCTTTAGTATTGACCTGGTGTGCCGTAATTTTCTTCAGGACGTCCCTTCATCAGGTCGGTTTTTTAAAGCCCAATCAAGTTAAGGTCTTCAAAAGATCTCTCCTGGCTTTTTGGTAGCCGAAGGAAAATGTTCCATCACTACAAATTATTCTTAAAGGGTTCTTCTCAACAACACAATTTTATTTGTTTTATTCTTTGAATCTCCTCTAACAGAATTGCATTCACTTTAACTGAACGACAAACCAACATATTGTAAGAAAACTGACACAAGGCGATACAGTTTGTTTTAATGTTAAGTGGGCATCATATAACTTCTTTCCTCATTTTGTCTATTTGTCGTATTATTCAGCATTTCGTTCGAAACTGTGACTGCGCTCATTAGTTTTATAAAATTGTAGTACGATTCGGCATTATGTTATATGTCTGTAGAATAAGAAGTGTTGTTTTTGCTCTTCGCTGCTATATTTTGCTCGAGTTTTTCAAACATGCTCCACTCACCATTGCCCGCTTCACATTTACATTTCGTTCTTTAAAATAGAGTCAGATAGAGGATTTTCGGTGAAAAGAATGAATAATGGACGGTCAGAAATGTTTTCTAGAGGTAGATCACCTCCTTCATGTTTCAAAAGTCATTCTGCTGCGTACATCACTTCCCATTTTTGAGGAATTAGTTATTTCAAACAAAATGTTGATATATTCATGTCGAGGACATATTGTGATATAGCTTCGAGCTTCATATGGATTCATATTATATCTTAGTGGTTTCATAATTAGCGACAGTGAATATTTCATTCATAAATACACTTGTTCAGAAGATCGTGCCTGTAAACTGGCATGCCTCATGTAACAAACTGTTATTTGAGAATAAATTGTTATTATTATTCTAAACATCTGTGAACAGTACCGCATTAATTACTGAATGAATATACGAACCATATTCACACATATGTCAACAAAATCACACTCTTAGAATGGGGTGAAAGCTGTGTTAAATTCAAAAATGTACATTAGTGCGTTTGTAGATTCACTAACATTCATTTGATTTTAAGTTCACGTTGATTTCATCCTGAAATCTTTAAAATGGGATGCTTCGTCTAAAACAGACGTACGAACTTGTTTATAACTGAAGGTTATGCAATCAAATAGCCATAGTTAGTTAGCTTGAAGTGTTTGTTATTAGTAAATTATTTACATATTTCACTTTAATTTCCTTCATTTTTCCTTTATTCCTTTCTTTGACGTCAACTCAGTATTCTTCCAAATTCTACGAAAGTCTGACAAATATGGCAAATGTTGTGCGAACATTAATAAAACTTGTGTATGACTACATTTCTGAAGAAACATGAAATAGTTTTTCCAAAACACTTGTGCACCAATAAGTTAATCGTGAATAATAATAATTTCACGTCTAGGAGGGTCATGCCAGGTTTTGAACAAATAAATTGATCGATCATTTTTTAGACGTTATTCACACATATATTGGGATTTCTCAATTATTTGCCCTATACTTTAATTAATTATGTTTGACGGTGTATAGTGACACTGGCTCGTAACCACATTATCCCCGAGGCTGAGCATACGACAACTGAGATTTACATCAGCTACTAAACAGTTGAAGGAAATCGGAAAATGCGAACGCGGAAACACCTAATCGACACTTAATCGGCACGGTCAGGACGTTAAGTCATGGGTTTTTGCTCACAAGTTACATATTTTCGAAGATTTTAGATGTCGTTATTTGTCAGCTATTAACAATAATTTTTTCCGTCTCACATCAACTTTCGTATTGTTTGTGCCTGGTACATAGCTTTTATTCCAGTCCATTAGTTGTTTGACGTATTTGTTGCTCACAACCCGAGTGAATATGTAGTCAACCTAATGTGGTTATTTGTAACAATCAAAACTCAGGTAAATGAAATTCACCATTTATCGAGTAGGAAACAGACCACAGTCAAAGTTTTATACAAAAATGGACTCTAAGAACTTTTACTTTCGATTCACCCCCCTAATTATGATGGTGATGAACATGGATGTTAGTAATTGTTTATAAAGTATAGGTTTGAGTTATTAAACTTTACGAATGTTATATAACTTGTTAATATACACCCCTAAACAGTCCTATCCATTTTAAGTATAATGGTTTTCGACTAAACTGACATATTAATATGTAACGTATCTGAGAAAAATTGTATCAGTAACAGTTGACGTTGATAGCTTTTTCTGCTCGCTTTACGAACATATACAGGAACGTGTATAACATTACTGTAAGTGCAAAATAAATTGGTCACTTATTCTTCTCAAGTAAAACGATGCGCGTTTCTTTCGAGTATGGTAACTAAACCATGTCGTAGTTAATATTAATTTATGATGTTTTTCTGATAGGATTTACGAATTAATGAAGAGCACTGTTTAAAACAAATAAGACACCTATAGGTACATTCTGTTAACTGCTATTTCATTTACTAATGGCGAAGTTCAGTCGTTTGTTTCTCGATTGATTTGCTGTTTTTCAGAATTGCATTAAGCTGAGAAAGTCCTCATACGTTTTCTGATATGCAACTTATGGCTTCTGTCAACAAATTTAAAGTCTCAAACCTTTCTAACAATCATGTCTATGCCAGTGGACAACTTAGCGAATTTCCGAATATGGAGAATTATGTGGAGAAACAATTTACACTTTTGTATTCCGATTCCAATTTTCTATCGCAAAGAATACTATGCAAAAACAACCGTTAGAGAAACCACATTCTTACCTACTTATCGGTGATTCGTAAGCAAAAATTGGCTTCCTCGGATCTGTAAATACTGTTTGCTTCGACTGGGTGGTGAAATTGTTCTTATCATGAAAGATGTGAGTGTTATCTATCTTCCATCGACTGCAATGTCCAAGAATATGATGAACTATACAGTTTATATTTTTTATTCGATCGAGCTTGCCTGGAAGATTTTGTCTTCTTATGTATCCCAGAAGCATATGGCGGCAAGGACACGGGCATGTTTCAATCTATCCACAATTCAGGTTACATCTGCTCGCAATACTTTTTACTTCCAAGCTAACAGAACAGGAGGTCCTCGACCAAAATTATCCTCAAAATTTACCCCAATCGGACAAACGAGAGTTTAGGAAGTTACGAAACAACAATCGATCCAACTTGTGCACTACATGACAGAGAGAGCTAAATCAATATTCTTCGCAATGATTTTGTGGTTTTGCTGCAGCAAAAGATCACTTAAGTATGAGAATACCTGTCATTCATGCAACCCAGCGGACAGCCAATGAACCCACAACATTTGAAGTGCGGTCGACGGATGTTGACACAAACCTGAAGTCTCTAAGTCATGGCAAGGCATTAGGCTGTGAAAGTGTTCACCCACTCACACTAAAGCAGTGTGAGCTCCACCGGCTAGTCCGTGTTTCACCTGTTTAGCCTTTCACTAGAACCTTAATAGCTGCTGAAGTGTTGAAAGAAATAAACTACTTCCCCCGCTTTCACAGAACATAGAAAGAGCGGGTCTCACTGTAAACAGTTGTTATCTGTTAAAGTTCATAGACAGTCTGATTGTCAACCAGGTAATAAAACATACTGAAAATAATAAAACCTCGTACGAAGCACAGGACGGCTTTAAATTATCGAGGACCCCCCCCCGTGGCATGGAACATTCAAATGACACTGAAAGCAGATAAAGATTTTCAGACCATCCAACACCTTACTTCACGTAGTTCTGAAAGTAAATGTGAAAAATATGGGTTTTAATGATTTTCCTCCGCCGAGTTTACGGAACTACGTAAAACAACGTATACTGATATAAATTTAGCAGTGTTGCGTTAGTATTCAAAGTCTCTCAAGAAACATATCAAAACTCTCTTTTTACCTCATTTTTATAAACGATATCTCGGATGACTTCAATACTTTGGTTACTATTTATAGCTATGAAACCAAACTACGTAAAGTTGCTACGTATACGGATCAATAGTAGTACTACAAAGAAACCATACATCATTTAAAAAACAGGCGGAGTAAAATAACTCAAAATGAAGCAATCTGAACACCGCACCAATGAAATTTCTTCACGAAAAAACAGCATTTGTGCTGAGCCTTATATGACGTTTTACTCACCTTTTAAACATCATGAAGTGACTATCCACCAGCTATTTCAAAATCGTGTTCTACCTTTAAAAACCAGAATACTGTCACGCGTTCTCCCCGGTAATAAAGTGATTTTTGGGAAGGAGCCCATCAGCTCACCAAAGGTGACTATAGATTTAAGGCATGAAATCTAAGTGGACCACTTCCTGAGGCCTACGTATTATCGCTTTATTTCAGGTTAAATAAAGACGAAATCACCTTGTTTACAGAACATCAAGCAGCCCAGAAAATGTAGGCATAGTTTTGTTACAAGAAGGCCAGTTAAGTAATTCACATCATTCACTGCAATCCTTTTTCATATATCATCATGCATTGAATAAACATAACCTATGATTTTCATCGAATTTCACACTTTAATTATACTATCTTTATGCAATTTCTCTTTATCTCTCTTCAAATGTAAGATCAACCGACAAAAAAAGCCTATTGAACAACACTGAATATATAATCAATGCCTTATAACAAGAGTGTGTTAGAAGAGGCTGACTAGTTCATATCATTTCAAGGCTCAAACGGAGGATTTCGACTGTTTGGTCTCATCAATGAGACCTTATGTATGCCCTTGAAAATTTATGGGGTTGATTTGACACTAGGTTTCTGCTGAGTCCCAGTGTGTAATGGAATCGTGGAAAAGACTTACTGATGCTCCAATTTCACGGGTTAACCATCAAGCAATTTGTTTGGAGGATCGTATATTTGTTTTCGGGGGTTTTAATTCTCAAATGTTTGATTTAGACTACAATGAGCGTCAGATAGACACATTTATGTGGGATATTCGTAAGCTCCATTTTTTATTGGTGTGATTTCGGTAGAGAAAAATAAATGGGAGCAGCTCCCTTGTCCTCTCTTACTGAAATCATGGGACTGCACTCTCAAATCTTGGGGACCTGATCCCATCCTAGAAGTAAGTAAAATAACGTATGATTGGATAAGTATTTTTATTTTCAATGTAAGTCCAGGCAACCCAACTTTATGGCTTGGCACCTGCTCACTCTTGTCACTATATGGACACTTATGTAAGAGGTCCTCCATTTAAGAAACCGCTTGATCGCTCTACAAACCGAAGAGGTATATTCAATCTCAATAAGTTAATTTTCGGGCGTAAACATTCGTATTTTTTAAACTTCTCGTGGGTTCTAAAATGCTTGTGGGTTCATAGAAATGGCCGTATGTATTTGTTTGGCCTATGTCTTTGGGTTTGGTCAGTGGGCTGATTTGGGGAGTATGGACATTAAATTCGTAGGTATAGCACTACCTGTACTTGGAAAATTGATCCACATCGTGTTTTTGAAGTTGGCGTTTGGTTGGTTTGATTTGTGTAAGCTTGATATTTACTTGAGGTTTCAGGCTGAAGTTTCCTGAGATTTAAGGAAGTTAAGTTTAAAATATTTTAAATATCGGTTATACTATGTATGAGTGGGTCACTGAAAATCAATGTTTTGTTTAATTATTCAGTTTACACTAGTTATTTAGCATATTCTTCCGACTGTTATACAGGAATATATGGTGACGGTACTAGTGCGCACGGTTAGGTCGTTTGTTAGCCAATAAAATTACAGTTTGACTCCCGCGTTTGATTGTTATTCATCATGTCATCACGAAGTTGAACAGTGATAGCGGTAAAAATTAACACTACATTCAAAAGAAGCTCAACCACCAAGTCCCACGTTTAACTATCTATACACACCGCGCTTTGGGCAGCCGGATAGTATCACCAAACACGGTGGTCTGAAGCCAAGTGTATGAACATGTAACCGGTAAGTAATCCACATACATCAATTTATGTATAGCGCTCATATAATAATTGGATATCTCAACATTCTTACATGGACAAACTTTCTAAATTGTGTTCAATTCAGAATGGAGATTTGTGGAGATTGTAGTAATTTTAATAGTTGAATTCATGAATCGATCTAAACTGGAGTTTCCGTGAAAAGCCTCTACCAGTGGAGTCAAATCCGTGTCGGGTGGAGACAGTTATCCACCCCAAACAATGATTAAAAGAATTCGCAAGATCATGCATCATGCCCCAAAATGCCTCGATATGGTTGAGGGTGGGGAGAGTCAGTTCTCCCTCTCAAAATGCTCTCACATGGTCACGCGTATTCAACCACTCCTAGGAAAGCCCTATACACTACCTTCTCGCTGCTGGGGTATTTTCACGAAATTGAGAGGAAGAAAGGCGGATAACCGGAGCTTTAACCGAATTGGTGGATACGGAAAATCCACCTAATGGAGTTAGAAAACCCTGAATCCAGACCAATCGTTCACATGGGCTCCAGGATCCTTAGGGAAGAAGTGGCGTATAAACCTATTTTTGACCACTGGCTTCCGTGGGACCTCATCTCCTATCGTTACCCCACTGTCTTGTGGAGTAGACGTCTAGGTCAAAGGCTCGGGGGTGGCCCTCTAAGAAAACCACCTGCTTCGGTCTGGGCACCCGGACAGTATCCCAGCCCTCATATAAATCCATTGATTTGTGTGGCGCATATATATTTGGTGCCTTCTTTTATCAATCTTTATGTGTTCAAATAAATAAATAGGGATCGATTAAAGTTAAAAATCAACACCGTTGAATGCTGGCTCAGTGGTCTAAAGGTTAAGCCCTCGCGCGCGAGACCGAAGGTTCCGGGTTCGGGTCTTGCGTGCGGTACCGTAAGTGTGCACTGATGAGACGTCTCGAAATGGAACGAAACTGACGTAGAGTGCTTCCAAGTTTTTGATGGTGGTCTAGCTTAGATCGACTCGTGAATTCAATTACCAAAATAATTGCTGTGAAATCCAAGACTTGAGATTACATAATTTTGTTTCATTTAATTAACGATACAGCAAATTAATAATAACAGGTAAGATAAAGTTACGTGACCAGGTATCAAATACGTAAATGAAGCGACAGTTGGGCTTAAATGTTAATACGTATCGGCGCTAGCACGTGATATGTAACTAATTTCCTTCAAGATTTGTTTCGGTTTTACTTAGAACATGCTTTGAGACGCCTGGTACAATAACATTTTTGGTGAATTACATCAACTGTGACTATATATCTTGCTTATCTTATTTGATATCAAATTATTGGAAGGTAAAATCGAATATCACTAAACAAATTTTTCAACGTACCATAGTTCGATTGCTGAACAATCTTTAGAAAAAATATCTTAGAATACACTTATTTTACAGTTGATTACACTGACTGACATTTGTTTTCTGTATTGTAGAGTAATGGTTCTATCCAACCTAGTCTTAGATTCGGTCATACTGTTGTTGCTTGGCGTGGTCGAGGTTGGCTTTTCGGTGGAAGAATGCAACAGCGAGTATGCCCTAATCAGCTGTACATGTTCGATCCTGGTTCGAAGTTTCTCTGTCAATCGGTTAGTCGGTCTGCATTGTCCAGTAGCCTAAAATTAAATCATACTTTCAATGCTAAAAAGTTTCATCCTCCCTGTTGGGCTGAAGTAAGAGGTACGGTTGGTAGCGTACCGAGTGCTCGAGATGGTCATTCAGCTACTGTTTTAGAAGATGCAATGTTTATATTTGGTGGCTTCGAGGATATCGTAAGTTTCTCCACGTTAATTGTAACCTCAGTTATGCGGTCTAGTTTACCAATAAATATTGAGTATTTTGGAGCATTAATTTCCATGTTTATTCCTATTTTCATCACAAATGAAATAATGTTTTTATCTTATTCTGAAGTTATATTCAAGTATCGCTGTTAACTGCGATGCTTCTTATTGTATACGATATTAATATTGTACCTCTTAACTACGTTGGCAAGTAACTATTAAATACCATCACGTTTATTCTGTGTCTGTTTAGCCGTGTGTTGACAGTAAAACTTATCCACAGCTATTACAATTAGTCACGAAGCTACCCAAACTTTTGGTCGCTTCGTTTGTAATTTTTCAACTTGCGTTAACTGAATTTTTAAGTTCCATTTAAAATACAGTTTGATGAAACTCTGTGATTTCTCATACGCGTTTTTAATTGAAATCATTTGATCAGGATTTCTTAGGCAGGTATTTTCCCATATTTTTAATACAAATGGTAGTTAGTTTCTGGACACAATCGTAGCATATCGTAAATAACTTACCAAGTAAAAAACGGTCATATCGTCTATACGGACTCTGAATCCGTAATAATGCATTGTATAATATAGTCAGGGTCCACTTATTCGTGAATAAGTGTTCTCGAACATTTAGCCAGGCTTAGTGAACAAATGTAAGACCATTTTAATGCGATTACTTTACTGTCACGCAAAACACCAAAGGCAATTAGTAAGGCTATAAAATTAGTCTTTTGATTTCATCATGGACGTGTTTGTGAATAGGTATTCGAAGATTTCCCAAGTGTTGTTTTGTCTGATACTTCAGTCAGTCAGTCAGTCAGTAACAACGTAGAACTTCGTACGTACGTACGTACATCGAGTTGCCGCACCACATTAGCACAGAGATGCACTTGTCGATTCAAATCCCGTAGTGGTAGAGGTAATAAGAGTATAAGCAGTAATCGGGAAGATTAGGGTTTGGAGATGTTATTTAAAGAGTATAATCCAGTGAAAGAAATTTGGAAAGAGGAAAAAAGGGACATGAAGAATTCAGAAGATTAGAATTTGGGAGAACACAAAGAGTGGATGCACCTGCGCCATTGCAAACGATTTTGAGCCATGTCTGATACTTACCACCCACTTCATAAATATCTTTCTTGCATTTCCGCTGGCATGACGAGATGCTGTTTTATTAGAACCCATCCACTCAAGAAAAATTCGCAAACCCTACAATATCGTATTAAACGCAAATACTATGCAACAAACAGGTTGTAAAAGCTAGGCTAACCAAAAGCTTAGAATCAAGCCTTCTGCTTATTCACTGTTTCATAAGCTCTTTTAAACAGTTCATTGGATTATATATATGTTTATTTACTCATTTTACGCATATATATATATAGGAAGTTTAAAACAAAATTATTGAGATATTGTATGCTCACAATTCCATATCTGTACTACACAGATAACACTGAATAAAGCTATTATTATAATGTACTAATATAGAGGTTTTTTCCAGCAACTAAATAACAACTATCAATGTAATATTAAGTGTAGTTTTGTAACATCTCAACGTGTAGAAAATTGTATTTCTGACGCTTAGTGACTTAATGTAAGTCACTTCTTCAGCGTAAATAGATAAGTGTCAATTTATTTTTGTGATAAGCCTCTCGTTTGTGACTACATTAACCTCTTACCTATTGTTGTTAAGCTCAATGTTTACTAAAGTCTTATCTGCAAAACTCCATATTTTAGGGAGAGTTTACTTTTTATGGTTGTTTGGCAGCTTGTGCGTCTCAATGGTACAAAAGTGTGTTAACTATCAATGACCGATCTATGAGTGATCCGAACAGTGAACAAGGTGTCAGTACATCGTTTCAAAGTTATCATCAATTACGTTTTCAGCTCTTTGCACCGAAAACCTGTGAATATATTTAGGACTTCACTGTAGTATTTTATATTAATATTTTACCTAGACTACAAATCAGAAAATTGTAGACTTGTTATTCTGTATGGTTCGTACTATTTAAACACTACATGTATTACATATCCTTGTATGATATCGTACCAATCTTTTGTTTGATGTAAAGACGGATAAACTACTGATAAATAATTACCGCCAACCTTTTCATGGCCTGTCTTACTGTCTATCTTTAGTTAGATACAAAACCCGTTTTACAGTTATATGTAGTCTAAGTTTAATATGTAAAGGCATTACTAATCTCTAGTATTTTCCTCATTTTTCTGTATGTCTATTGGACCTCCCTCTTAATTTTTCAAATAATTGTGTAAGTACAGAAACCATTTTATCTGCTTAGCTATAGGTAAACTAGATGTTCATATAAACGGCAATTGTTGTGACTGATGCGATTCCACCATTCTGAGGTGATACATGGATCGTTAGTGACACTTCATGATCGTCACGTTTTATTACGAACTGATTTGAATTTAAAATGTTAACCGTTGAATTTTTGCTCAATGAGACCTTAATCACTCAGATCTGAATATCTAGAGTTCTACCTCCAGCTGAGTTATAGGTGTGCACTACTAAAACTAAGACAGAACGGCTGCTTAATGCATTCTGGTTCTCAGTAGTTTTTCAGTATTAGTTAATTCGTAGAAAATCTATCTCAAAATTGAGCAGATCTCCACGACCATAAAACCAAGTACATTAACTAAACTTTGAATAATAAGCCTTCGGAAAATAAAGTTCCATTTTTCCCCACTAAAACATCTCATTTATCTAATTCTTCTAAATATTTTTATCTTTCAGTTTAATAATTATGACAATTCAGTTTATCGACTGGATTTCATTACTTGGAACTGGACGCGTATAGAAATTCGTGATGATTTGTTATCGTTTTCAGATCTTTCCCTTAGCATTCCATTCGATACGAATAGGAGTCGACAATTCGGTATAGACTCGCACGAATATTTGAATGGCATTTGGAATGATAACATATCACATGATCAAACATCCCATCCTAGAACTCCTTTACCTCGTGATTTCGCATGTCTTACTAGTCACCAAGGTCGTATATTTCTGTTTGGCGGACGAAGTAAATCACCTGATCACCCATCATGTGATGTCTATGATTCTGCTCTATGGGAGCTTATTCCTCTTGTCAATGTATCAGATTACTCCTCCTCTGATACGGCGAACATTTCGGAAGGACAGAAGCTAACTCCGGCAAAATGTAATTTTTGTGGTGTAGAAATGATCGATTATTTGGGTACTACCTCCGGTGGGTTACTTCGCATCCTGTGGGAAGAAGAAACAGGAAACTGGTGTGGGTATGTGTCGATCAATTTAAACTATACATAAATTATTTAATATATATATAAGCCTAGTTAACTCATTGTTTCAATGATAAGATCTGTAGTCTCCAAACGTAGTTTCAAATGTCTACCACAAGCAGTTTTATAGAATTAGTTTGCCTCTCTTTAATATTGTCTAAACGGGGCATTTGTGTTATTATGGTGGAGCGTAATCATAATGTAGACTTTGACTGCATCTGGAAATATAAACTCTGAACCATGTCATCTGAAGTCTAACCACTGGTTACGATAATCATCCGACCCCAACCAAGTAGTTTGCACTCACCTACTTGGCTCAATCTAACAGTGTTGGGGACGATAGATCCCCAAACTCATATTTTAAAATTTATCTTATCGATCATCTTATTGATTAAATGTTAGATATTTTTATTGGGGTCAATTGGTGAACTAATCGATTAAATGTTTGAATAGCAGTCAATGGATGAACTATCGATTAAATGCGCAAATAGGTCAATTAATGAACTCATTGATTAATGTTTAAAAATTTTCTATCGATTGTAAATAATTGTATAAATACGCTTGACTTGTATGCTTGATCTGATCTGCCTGCCTGACTTGTTATCTGCTGTTTGTCTGTAGAATACACTTTCTACACCTTACCCAGACTTCTTGATCGAGTTAGCTGAGTCGGGGACAACGAACCAGAATAGCTATCGAGTCGCTGAATCATTGATCCTTCGTTCGTTCGAGTAAGACGCATCAGTAATAGCATTCAAGCAAATAACGAAACATAACAAATTGGCGACGGTGGTTTTTCGATTATGGACCCTGCAAAACTTGAACTGTTACTTGAGCAGCAGCTAAAATTGATGCAAATGTTAATGGAGACCAAGGTTACGCCTCCTTTACAGCCAAGCACGTCGAGCTCAACCACGGCACCATCGGTAGATGGCATCGCAAACAGCATAGCTGAATTTCATTACGATCCTGATTCTAATGTTACTTTTGAAATGTGGTTCAGGCGTTATGAAGATCTATTTAAATTTGATTTCGCCAATCAAGATGATGCTTGGAAAGTGCGGCTGCTACTTCGTAAACTGGGTGCAAATGAGCTGGACAAGTATTGCAATCTGATCTTGCCGTTGAACCCACGTGATCGATCATTTGCAGACACAGTTCAAACATTAATCCAGCATTTTGGCGATAACTCGTCACTGTTTAATACTCGTTATCGTTGCTTGAAGCTGACTATGAACGAAGATGATGATTTTCTTACGCATGTGGGCGTCGTCAACCGTGAATGCGAACGCTTCCGGTTAAAGTCCTTGACTGAAGATCAGTTTAAAGCCCTGATCCTTATTTGCAGCCTACAGCACCAAAAGTTCAGTGACTTACGAACAAGGCTACTAAGTCGTTTGGATCAAGAACCGAAACTCACCCTGAGTGATATAGCTAATGAATATCAACGTCTCATTAATCTTCAACGAGACACTTCTATGGTCCAGAGTGGTGGTTCTAGCCGATTTGAAGTACGAGCGGTACAACAGACACCTCACAAAAACAAACACGTCCCCGCTTCATCCAGTCCATCTCACTCCAGCTCTAGACGACAGACTAAAGCAACTCCTCCTGCTCCTTGCTGGCAATGTGGTGCATGGCACTACGTTCGAAACTGCCCATTTAAACAACATCGATGCAAGAAGTGTAAGGTTATAGGCCATAAGGATGGGTTTTGTCTGACGAAGAAGACTCCAAGTCAATCAAGAAATACCAAAAAGACCTGTCCTAGATCCCGCACCAGTTCATTGAGCTTAGTATCTTCGTGTCAAAGCTCATCACCGTGTCAGAGAAAATTTATTACTGTTAACATTAATGGGCATTCATTTAGACTGCAAATAGACACTGCATCTGATGTAACAATTCTCTCACGAAAATATTGGATCAGAATGGGAAGACCACGCATGGTTCCAACAACACAAAAACCTCGAACTGCATGCGGTAATTACCTACGTTTGTTGGGACAACTAGATTGTAAAGTGTCTTTTCACGATTCAACGTTTACCGGTGTATGTTACATCACACCAGCTGATCTTAATCTACTTGGGTTAGACTGGTTTGACCAGCTACATTTAGCTGACGTTCCTTTAAGCACCGTATGCCATCTGGTGAAACAACCTCATGAACCTGAAGCATATTCGAAAGAACTAATGACGGAGTTTTCAACCATTTTCCAACCTGGATTGGGTCGCTGCTCTGTCATGAAAGCAACACTTCGATTGAAAACTGGGGCTAAGCCTGTTTTTCGCCCAAAGCGACCTGTCCCTTATGCAACATTACAAACAGTAGATGAAGAATTGAACCGCCTTCAACAACAAGGAGTTATCACTCCCGTTTCCTACTCTGCATGGGCAGCACCTATCGTGGTTATTAAGAAGGCCAACGGCACGATACGTATATGTGCTGACTTTTCAACAGGTCTCAATGCAGCTCTGGAACAACATCATTATCCCTTGCCTGTTCCCGCAGACCTATTTACCATGCTGAATGGGGGAAGATTTTTCGCTAAGCTGGATCTAGCTGATGCTTATTTGCAAGTGGAAGTAGACGAAGCATCAAGAGAGCTGTTAACTATCAATACTCATCGTGGTTTGTTCCAGTATAACCGTCTACCTTTCGGAGTCAAAACTGCACCATCTATTTTCCAACAGCTAATGGATACCATCCTATCAGGTATCCCGGGAGTCGCGGCTTATTTGGATGACATTTTAATTGTAGCAACGACATTAGAACAACTACGAGAACGCACGACATTGGTACTGCAACGCATCAGTGACAACGGGTTCCGGTTACGCCCAGAGAAATGCCAGTTTCATTTGCAGTCGGTAAAGTACTTGGGGTTCATTTTCGATGCCGATGGCCGCAGGCCAGATCCTGAGAATATCCGAGCTATCAAACTGATGCCAACTCCTACTAATGTCTCATCACTACGTTCCTTCCTGGGACTTGTCAGCTATTACTCAGCGTTCGTTCCATCGATGCATGATATTCGCGCTCCACTCAATAGCTTACTGCAGAAGAACAGCTCTTGGAACTGGACTAAACAATGTGACGCTGCCTTTTGTAAACTGAAGTCCATTATTAGTTCGGAATTGCTGTTGACACACTACGATCCAGCCTTGCCGATCATCGTAGCTGCAGACGCTTCAGCGCATGGCATAGGCGCTGTTATCTCCCATCAGTTTCCGGATGCGTCGGAAAAAGCCATTATGCATGCAGCCCGTACACTAACCCCAGCAGAAAGAAAGTACAGTCAAATAGAAAAAGAGGCTCTGGCTCTTGTGTTTGCAGTACGCCGTTTCCACAAATTCTTGTACGGTCGAAGATTTACTCTTCTCACTGATCACAAGCCTCTTCTCACAATTTTCGGTTCGAAATCTGGTGTTCCAGCCCATTCTGCAAACCGTCTCCAACGATGGGCTTTGATACTTCTGGGTTATGATTTTGACATTCAGTATCGGCGCACTCAACAGTTTGGTCAGGCTGACGCCTTGTCACGACTTATCAGCGAACACCATACGGCCGGCGAAGATACAGTTATCGCCTCCCTGATGACAGAGGACTACGCGCAGTGCTACCTGACAACTGCTATTCGTGCTTTGCCAGTCTCAGCAGCTGAAATACAATCTGCATCCAAGAACGACTCCATCATAAAGAGAGCGATGAAATACGTCACAAATGGCTGGCCGCCGACTGGACTCGATGGTGACTTGAAACAGCTTTACCGTCGTCGGGACTCATTATGCGTCGTAAACGAATGCTTGATGTTTGGAGATAGAGTAGTGGTACCAGAATCCCTAAGATCTAAGGTGGTAAAGCAATTCCACACTGGTCATCCTGGTATAAAACGAATGAAATCCATCGCCAGAAGCTATGCTTATTGGCCCCTCATGGACCAACATATCGTGGATTTAGTAAGCAAGTGCACACAATGTCAGCAAGCAGCTAAGTGTAACGCGAAAATACTACCAGTCCCATGGCCACAGCCTGAGTATCCCTGGTCCAGGATACATGTCGATTTCGCAGGCCCAATTAACGGAATCACCTATCTAGTTGTTGTCGACGCCTTTTCGAAATGGCCTGAAATCAACCCTATCATACCGCCAACGACAACTAAAACAATACAGATCCTCACAGAAATTTTCTCTCGAAATGGTATACCAGATGCTATTGTGTCTGACAACGGGTCACAGTTCACATCCAGCCAATTTCAGTCATTCTGTCAACGACTAGCCATAAAGCACTTACGCTCGCCACCATACCACCCGCAGTCGAATGGGCAAGCAGAAAGGTTTGTGGATACGTTTAAGAGAGCCTTGGCTAAAACAAAGGGGGAGGGGACGCCAGCAGACGCGTTGCAAAATTTCTTATACGTGTATCGAACAACACCAAATGAAACGTTGCCGGAGCGAAAGTCCCCAGCCGAGATCCTAATGGGAAGAAGACTGAAGACAATCCACAGCCTGATGCATCCGAGGAATGCACCGACACCAGTACGGACAAAGTTTGAAAAGCAATCCACGTACGAAGTGGGATGTCCGGTGTTTGCCCGTGATTACAGACCGACCCATAGTCCATGGACAGAAGCGCGAGTGGTCAAAAGAGTTGGCCGAGTCATGTACGAAGTTGAGGTAGGTAGTGACAGGTGGCAACGCCATCGGAACCAGTTACGCAAACGGTTAGCCCCAGACCGCCCATCAACAGAATCAAATATTCCTCTTGACATTCTGCTAGACACATTCAACTTACCGGCAACCCCACCACAAGAAAAACCTCAACAACAAACTGAAACACGTCCAAGACGGTGGCCTATCCGAGAACGGCGAGCAACAATCAGGATGCAGGTTGACCCCAGGAAAGCCCGCTATTAAAAAGGGGAGGAGTGTTGGGGACGATAGATCCCCAAACTCATATTTTAAAATTTATCTTATCGATCATCTTATTGATTAAATGTTAGATATTTTTATTGGGGTCAATTGGTGAACTAATCGATTAAATGTTTGAATAGCAGTCAATTGATGAACTATCGATTACATGCGCAAATAGGTCAATTAATGAACTCATTGATTAATGTTTAAAAATTTTCTATCGATTGTAAATAATTGTATAAATACGCTTGACTTGTATGCTTGATCTGATCTGCCTGCCTGACTTGTTATCTGCTGTTTGTCTGTAGAATACACTTTCTACACCTTACCCAGACTTCTTGATCGAGTTAGCTGAGTCGGGGACAACGAACCAGAATAGCTATCGAGTCGCTGAATCATTGATCCTTCGTTCGTTCGAGTAAGACGCATCAGTAATAGCATTCAAGCAAATAACGAAACATAACAAACAGTCAATGTCTTTATGAACTCATGCTTTTTCTTGGCTTCGAAACATTGCTCGTATATCATGGGACCATCGAGTAAGTAACACAGTTGTTAGGAAACGGGTACTAGGTAAGGATGGCAAATCAACTGATGACGTAGTGAAACTTCATCAGTTGAGATGGCTGGGACACGTGTTACGTATGCCCAACGACCGACTGCCTCGACGTGCTATGTTCAGTGGTATAGAAGTAGGTTGGAAGAAAGCTAGGGGCGGCCAAACCAAAACATGGCACAAGTCCATGAAGTCACTGACAAGTGGACTGAGTCATGTTGGTAGATGTAGACTACCTGGTTGGGGACCACGAGATGATAGCAACCGATGGTTAGAGACCCTGAATGACATGGCTCAAAATCGTTTGCAATGGCGCAGGTGCATCCACTCTCTGTGTTCTCCCAAATTCTAATCTTCTGAATTCTTCATGTCCCTTTTTTCCTCTTTCCAAATTTCTTTCACTGGATTATACTCTTTAAATAACATCTCCAAACCCTAATCTTCCCGATTACTGCTTATACTCTTATTACCTCTACCACTACGGGATTTGAATCGACAAGTGCATCTCTGTGCTAAGGTGATGTGGCAACTCGAACTGATGTACGTACGTACGAAGTTCTACGTTGTTACTGACCGACTGACTGACTTGGCTTGGGCTACCCTAGTTGTTTTTTCAGCTTATTATACTATCCATCACTGCTCGTCAAAATGAGCACTGGTTAAGTATACGTAATATATGTGTTTCAACCACTTCAGTCGATGAAGATTCGCTATCCCATCAATCCATTTGCCATAATTACCTAGTAATCCACGTTCAACATTAGAATTGCTAACTCGATGGTCCCAATATATACAAGCAGTACTTCAAAAATACTAATGATTGAATACTAGTAACCTAAAAATATCCTCTATTTTTAAAGGCCATTTTTCACAGTTATAAAACGGAACGGAGCAAACTGTTGCGTTGTATACACGTCCTTTAGTCAGGAGACAAATTTGTCGCCGCTTTCTGGATTCGTGCCGAGATTTCGTTGGATATCAACCCACCACGGCTAGTGTGATTTCAAAAATAAATAACTTAATTGACACAATCAACTACATCATTTCCTACCATTCGTTCAGGCACTGATCCGGACCGGTTCCGAAGCAAGATTTTTCAGTTTTAGAGAGAGAAATACATCTCAAATATGCTTGCATTATTTCTTAAAGCGGCCAGAAGACCATGCATTTTTTAGTATCTTTGCCAAAAAGTTCTATATAATCTGTGTATCCCAGGTCAACAAGAGGATCTTGTTATGTATTTATGCTTATATGATCATCGCGAAATACGATTTCCAACTCAGAAACGCTGACTTATACGATCAAATTAAATCTGCATGCACCAATACGGGCAGCCTAGAGTTCTGATTAGTCCTTTTTCCGACTAGCCCTGTCTGTTAAGTCCAGAACGCCAATCTCAGCCTCCGCGGTACAAATCATACATTTCAAACGTTCTTGGTTTATATATAAGCAAAATCAGACCATATCACACCGTAAAATAGAAACTAACACTTGTACAAGATCGGGCCAAAAGTGGCTGTGATTATGAGAAACTGTAACTAATAGGTTGTGAATAACTTAAGAATAGTAAATCATATAACAGTAACCAATAGGTCAAATAAAAGCTTATAATAGAAGGAATATAAATATATAGAATTTAGTTTCTTAAGTTAGACAATAAGAATATATGTATTATATTAGTCCATAAATAGTTCTCAGAAGTTACCCATAATTTAATCTTCACTAGGATCTAATAGATCGATTCCTTATAAGCCAGATGATGAGTGTTGCCTCCAAAAGAATGTCCATTACAAAGTCAAATTTTATACTATATTTTATTTGAAACACAAATATTGGTACAAAGGGGCACCGAATATATTCGCCACACAAGTTACTTGATTAATGTATGGACTGTGATACAAGCCGGGTTCCCGAACCAGCGCAGGTGGTTTTTTTAGGAGTAAGCTTGACGAACATAGCTTGAAATTATTAGCTCCGATGACAAGTCACCGTACGCTGTGATTTGACCATTAGTGTTCGAATAGAAAGCCTGTACAACGCTAATGTGCTTCTTTGTACGCTTTAAAATGACAGACACCACAAAACCTGTCGATCTATGGAGTCGAACTCTGCCTTAGAGTCAATAAATTCAACTATAGTTTAGAGTCAGTGGGTATTTCTTTGTTCCAGAACCTGGCGAAGGGTGATAATTCGGTCTATACATCCACGTCCAGTTCTGAAACCAGACTGATTTTTCCGAGTTTGCTCTTCACGAACCCTAGTTAAATACCGGACAATTATTGAGGCCAATATTTTAGACACTGTTAGTCAAATCCATTTCTCTGTAGTTACTAAAAAAGGATTTTTTCCTTTCTCATAGGCTAAAACGATCACCGATCGAGACCAGTCAGATAGGATTTACTCCAGTTCCCGGACTTTAGTTAAAGTCTCAGGTATTTTAACAGCCAAAACTCGACCACAATACATAAAGATCTCTAGGGTTAATCAATCAGGGCCTGTTTCCCTCCTCTTGCTTTACACGGGCTATGGCTTTTTCTACTTCTCTAAGAATCGAGGGATTTATGTTGACATTGCTTGGTAAAAGTGAGCAACAAAATGGTGGTTAGAGAACAGTTAAACTATTTTTCAAAATGTTCATCCCATCGTTCCAGTTTTTTGGGTTGAGAGTGAATCATTGTCCCATCTTTTTAACAAATATTCTGTCTAACATTAATTGTCGTTGACTTGGTAATCTAACTTTCCGCTCACCTGCTTTTTTCTTTTATACTTGTTCAACAGTGGTTTCAAAGTAACTTGTCATTCTATTTTATTATTATCAGTAAAATCTGATGGTTATATCCTTAAAACGTTTCTCTGTTCTCCACAGGCAAGACATCTTTTTTTCATTAGTTAGTTACTCATTTGCTCCGCATTCAAGAATATTAAAACGCAATAGCTACTCGCTTAGTTCATTGCCTTTCGGTCCTCATTAATTCCCGTATGCAAGATTTTTCTTTAAGATTCGCTTTATCTAAGAATAGAATATCGATTTGTTTGCTTATTGTTAAGTATATCGAAGTTAGAAATGATTCATTTGGATATTAGCAATTTAGATACTGGAGTTTTTTTAGTATGCTTATTTTAAACAAAGTAAGTAATCCCAACGACCATTAGGATGTATGTAGATTTATCCCGCTAACATGTTCAAAAGTAGTACTTGCTCTAAATGTCATTATGAATCTTATCTATGTTTTTAGTTAATGGAACGGGTATAGCTTTTGAAATGAAAGTCGCAAAACTGGAATGTACGTCTCTTTAAACTGATGAATTCAGCTTTATTGTGATCCACTGGTAGCATTACATTTGTCCCTCGTAAAGTTATTGCTCCAGGACTGTCCTGCGTCAACACCTGAACTAAGGATAGGGAGTGAAGTAGTCGAACACGTCGACAACTTCACTTATCTTAGAAGTCTGATTAGCCCTAATGGGTTGGTGTCTGACGAATTCTCTGCACGGATTCCGAAAGCTCGTTTGGCTTTTGCCAACTTACCTCACCTATGGCGAATTCGAGATATCCGTATATCAATTAAGGGACGAATATACTGCCCGACAGTTCGTTATGTTCTACTTTACGACTGCGCAACGTTGCCATTAAGAGTATAAGATATTCGTAAGCTACTAGTATTTAACCACAGATACCTTAGAAATATTGCTCGCATCTGCTGGGATCACCGGCTAAATAATAGTGAGGTTGGACATAGGGTATTAGGGAATGATGGTAAATCAGTTGATGAGGTTGTAAATCTTCACCGACTGAGATGGCTGGGCCACGTGTTACGTATGCCTGAATACTGATTACCACAACTCGCAATGCTGCTGACTAGTGTTGGTGATGGTTGGAAGAAAGTTAGGGGCGGCCAAACTAAAACGTGGCATCAGTCTTTGAAGTCTCTAACTTCTAGTCCTAGCAATGTTGATAAATACAGACTACTTGGTTGTGGTCCGCGTGACTATCGTAACCGATGGTTGGAAACTCTGTGACATGGCCCAGAATCTATCACAATGACGTCAGTGTATACATTCTTTGTCTTCCCTTAAACTGTGAGATTAAAATTGCTTTATATCTTTCTTTCTACTAACTAATTCTTTCTTCCTGTACTATATCCTTATATACAATCTTTCTTTTATATATTACCACCTCTGAATTAACTACTTTTATGAATCCGGTGTTCATCTTGTTGTGTTAATGAGGTGTGGCAACTTGGATCGATGCATATATGTGTCCTACTTCGTAGCTGGCTGACTAACTCCTCTTAAAGTACGAGTGATAATTTCTGTTTATTTTCGTTACAATTCCATCCACTTTTCTTATTGTCATATTTTAAGTCTTGAATTTGTATGTATGACTGGTTTTCATTGATCGAATGCATCTGCTTTTATTTTATCAGTATCAGAGAACCATGCGTTTGGTATTGTGTTTTCTGATGCGATTTGTCGGAAATTTTGACCTTGATGTTTTTGCGTGTTATTATTCGTCACAAGTGTTTATTGCATTTTAAGGATAATTGTGGTGGCAAGTGGTCGAAACTTAGATAAGAGCCCTTCGAACAACAACCAATTATCTAATATTACAGCCACATTAACTCACAGGTGATGTAGTGGTCTCATATTCAGAAACTTCCCCACGTACTTCAGTTTGAGGAATCAGATAGTTTTATTAAAAACCGAGTGATCGAAATGGCATTTGGTAAATGAGTTACATTAAACATTTGTGGAAAATTCTTTAACTGGGGCTGTAGGCGACACGATTTTGGATTTTTAGAAGGATTTGAGTCTCCTTGGAGTTATAAATATCTCCTATTCTTCAATACGAAGAACGATGGAAATATGCTTAGGGTTTACTTTTTGGTCGTCATAAGCTGTGAAATATTATTTACCGTACGATACGGTATCTGATCACGTATTTCGGTGATCACTTCTCAGAAATACTGTATCGATAGGATTTAATGAGCACCAAAAGCCATACAAAACTAGCTTGTTCGTTGACCCGTAACTAGTTGGTGTTTCTTTAGAATAAAGAGCAAATTTTTGTCCATATAACTGGATTTCGTAGTAACTTATCCCATTTACTTTTTTGTCCACTTCTTTTTTATAGACCTGAATTCTGGGCAAATTCTCCCTCTCGTCCATGTTGTTTGTGGAAATTTATTCATAGTAATGTAGAAAACAAATCATATACACCAAAATATGATAAACTAACATCAAACTATCATTCCCGTTGGTCAAGTGGTTATGCAGTTTGGATAATTCGTCATCCAGGTCATGGTTTACAATCACCAGAAGTTCTGCTTTCACAAATATTCAATAAAGTTAATGGATTCACATATGATCCAAAGTCATCACTTGTGGAATCGTCGTCATCATCAACATCATCAAAGTTAAATTCACCTTACGGACGTAGGAGTCTTTCACATTGTAAATTCATCTAATTTTTCTCACTGCACTGAAAGTTTTCCTTTGTACAAATCTTTGCGGTATTATAGGGTTATACAAGGTTTTTTGTTGAAACGCTATTTTACCACCTAGAAATGAGCTCGTTTACTTCAATTGAATGAGTAACTTGTGTTTGGGATAGATGAAGCATCTTATTTAAGAAGAAATAATAATCATTGATCAGTTTGTAAATCTGTTGTGATGCAGATAATGTGTTTATCCACATTCTGCCTCGATATGTAACATTTTGGAATAGATGGATTGGACATTGAATATGAAGTATATCTATCCAGTATTTAGCTATTTCCCAGGACATTTTTAATAAATGAATGATTTCTAGCTGTAATCTGTTAAATGTAAGAAAACCAGTTATAAAGATTTCAGCCTGTCATGCGCAACCTAAAACATGTTACATATGTTTATCAATTAAAATTATCGCAGCGCAGTAAAGGAGGATATCAGAGTAGTAATAGTGCAATTGGTAATAGAAAAAAACTCAAGAAAATATGTATTTGCGTCATAAAACATTTCTAAAAAACCTTAAAATCTAAGGAAACAATCAGTAATTGGAACCGCTTCATTGCTAACAATTCTGAACTACTTCACTCCATTTCTTACCATTGATTACAATAGTCAGACGGACACAAACTAGTTAGTCTGAAACTACCTACACAGTTCAATTCAATAGTCAATGAATTCATGAACTGGTCCCATATCCTGGTTTGGCCGACCATAGTTTTCTATCAGCCTACTATACTAACCATCACTGTGCATCGAGGGAGGTGCTTGTTGAGCATACGTGATGCATGTCCTAATCATCTCAGTCGATAAAGACTCACTACCTTATCAATCGACTTGCCATACGTTCCTAGTATTCTACGTTTAAGTTTCAACACTCCTCACTCACTAATCCTAACATACACGAATAATGCTTCAGAGGCATCTATAATTAAGCTCTATTAACCTGCTGCTTTTCAGCGGGGTGTTGCATACTTATGCTTATATTTCGTAGACGGTCCGACCTGATTACAATTATTACAATGATTACTCACGGTATATAATATTTTCAAAGTTGGAACGAAGTTGTCAAAATGATTTATTTCAAACAGGTGACTCAAACTACATGACCAATGAGTAGCTAAGTAAGAAAATGAATAAGTGAAAATAATTTCTCAAGCAAATATGTGTCTATATGTCTTTGTTTATTTTATTATTTATTTCAACACATAAACATCGGTACAAGGAGGCACAAAGTATATATGCGTCACACTTCGTCACTCGATTTGTGTGAGGGCTGAAATACTGCCACTGGCGCCCAAACCGAAGCTAACAATGTATGTATATGTGTTTGAGTAATTGTCGGTTCGTTAGATATGTTGTGAACAAGAACACTGGTGGGGGCAATAACTATATTTTAATACAAAGTTATAGAATATGTTGGTTAAATACAAGAACCATACACTGAATAGTTCATTTTCAAATTTACACCATTTTTCCTTCACATTGTATGATTCTTCCAGTTCACAATTCCTTTCTATTTCCTCTTCTATTCTCTTCAACTTGATCTTCTTAGCCTTTTGCTGCCAGCCATTCAACTTTTGATTGGTATTACATACTACTTATGTCGACATATATATGTATATATATACTCTCATGTCTTAGAAAAATTCAAACTTTAAGATTTACAGAAAACATAAGTTGTTTTATGTGTTCTTTGCTGCGATACTTAATCACAAATATTACAATTAACTAAACACTGGAATTATTAATTATCCATGTTCAAAGCATTTGATTTTTGTTATGTCCTTATGCTCGATTAATTATATTACGTGATACGACCATCAGTTAGAGACACCGACTTATACGACCAGTCTAATGATGCACAAACCTGCCAGAGCAGACTAGTAATATATTTCAAGCATAGTGTGCTTATATACAAACAAACTAGACGGCATCATACCACAAGTAGAATATAACAATTATACAAGGTCAAACTAAAAAGTGTCTTTAAATGTAAGAGTCTGTTACTAATAAATTGGAAATATCTTAAGAATAATAAACAGTATCATAATAGTCAATAGGTCAAATAAATGCTTATAATAAAATGAATATAAATATACGTATAATATAGCTACTTAATAGTTACAACAGGAATATATTTATAGTATTACTTACTTACTTACGCCCGTTACTCCCAATGGAGCATAGGCCGCCTGAAGTCCCTCCGGGGGCTACTGCCGGTCCCAAGCCCGGATAAAGGAGGAGGGTTGGGCATAAGGTTAGCGTCCTCATCCCGTAGAAAACTAACTCGCTAAAAACGCTAATCAGAAAAAATTATTCAAACCTTTTAAACTCTGCCTGGGAGTCAGAAGGTCTTCATTTAGAAGAGCTATGACGCCTCATGATGAAAGCCGAATTCCTTCGGAAGTTACGAGGCCGATGCCCTATCTGACAACCAGAGCGACCATTTATTTAGGTACATGGAATGTTCGTACAATGTGGGACACCGGGAGAGCCTTCCAAGTTCATAGTGTTAGTCCATAACTAATTCAATCATTCTGATTTCTCTCCTTTTATCAATTCTGGAATAATAATGTAAGTGTATGATTTTGATTGGAACTGTACCGATTCTTCATACTTTGACTCAACGATATAACTCGATTGTCTGGTTTCTGTAGACATACTAATTATCATTTCAATTGTCCAACCTTTATCTAACCTTATATCAACACACGTGTGTACCTTATTGTGTAATCATCTAAAATATACTTGGTCCTGTTATTTGTTTTAGTTTTCTTACAGCATGACTTTCAAAGTATTGTGGTCTGTATACATTTAATGTTCTATATTCACTTTTGCATTACATGTCATACATTTAGTAGCAAATTTCCAAAAAATTATTTTGTTAAATTTTAATAAAATATTTAGGGTCCCACAATGGTAATTTATATATTGCCTTTGGTGCTGTTCGATCACAGACAGGTCGAAGTCTCCAGCTACACTATCAAGATGTTTGGCGCTTCAATTTGTCTACCTTGTCTTGGATACAACTTTCCTATATGCCCAGTATGAAATCATCAAATCTGCACATCCATCTACCTTCTGCCCGTAGACGTGCTGTAGCGTGTCTATATATGGCTCCACCTAGTACTCATCGCGATTATAATCCCACGTTAATCAAACAACAACCTCGGGTATTTGTATTTGGTGGAACACAACCAAGAGCACTTAATAAGAAAATATCTCTTGTCAACAATAATGGCCATAACGATTCACGATCTACCAACGAGTATTCAACATCCTTTGGAATGCTTCCTCACAGAAGTTTATTCAGTCTGAATTGGGGTTTGTGCATTTTACTACTGATTTTTCCTAATCTTTTTCATAAAACAATTTGAGATGTTTGTATTCATGGTATTTTTTGCTACTGGGGTAGAAAAAACATAACAAACTTCACGAAGTACATAAAGTGTGTCTGTATTATTATAATAACGTAACAAGGTTGGATTGAGATCACCGTCCCATGCTGGATACTAGATACCGACTGGACACGATACTTGATCACGTTATACTCAAAGAAGTTGTTTGACCAAAGATAAGGTATAGGCCAAAAAGCACAGCATAAAGCACTCAATAAGTGTAGTTGCTTTTGCGCATAAGATAGTCGCGTGTATTTATTGTAGCCAGATATGTTTTTCCTCGCTTATTAACCAACCATGTCCTACTTTCAACTGATCTATTAATTACACCTTCCAATGTCATAAAAATCTTAATTTTAGATTGTTTTTTGGATGCCGACCCAGTAGTCTGCAGTTTAGGTGCTCATGACGAGACCTGAAAATCATGAATTGGATCACCAGTGTAGTCGTGAATACTCGCTACTGAGGAGTCCCATATTAAAATGAGACAGCTTTACAATGCTTCTCGGTTTTCAATGGTTGCCTAACTGAGATCAATCTATGATGTAAACTCTGGAAATTCATCAGTCCCACCGAACCCCTCATGCTGACGAAGACTTCGCCATAAAAATTAGAATTTTTTGTTCGCGCATGTATTCAGTTGAATTAATGGTTTTGTTCTCTAAAATCTATTTTGTGATTGTATCTCATTTTCCTCAACAAATTACCAATTTACTCAACTATTTAAATCATGTAGTAATTTGGCCAGTTTTCATGTCAACATACTATGAATCACTTTTCATATAATGCCATACATCCTTCTTTTTATTAAAAAACAATCTCACTCTATAGATATAATCATAATTTAGTTCTGTCAAATTTTAATGATTTTTTTTGTTTTATATTCCTCCTTTTGCCTTTTTTAAAAAAAGGTAATAATCGAACTCAGAATGAAGTACTTGGCTTGAGAAGAACCAGTTCCTCATTAAAATCATTTGTTTCAATTTTATGCGTCCAATCGACTTCTTCAATTCCTGATGGTGATCATGGTAATGTCATATCTTCAAATTCTACCACAAATTCATCTCTGTCTACTTCTGCAACACCATCGTCGTCCTCTTCATCACCATCAAATACGCCAGTGACAACTTTCTATCTTATTATTATCATTCCATCCTATTTATGCAATTCTCATTTATTAAATGGTTTGATTCCGTTGCTAATTAATGATTTTATCCTGTTGTCTAACTTATTTGTTATAAGCTTTGATGAATTGTCTCAATTATTTAATCTAACAACTAACACATCTGATAATAATAACAATAATAATAATGATTCGCCATTTATTAAATATCTCCAATCTATACATTCTCATCAATTCAATCACATGAATCCACATAGTACTAGCAACAACACCAGTAATAATAATAATAATGTTACTGTTGATGAAACGATCCATCTATTTCATTTAGCCTGGTTAACTATAACAGATATGTTCTCCGCTCATGAAACAACGAGTCGCAGTGATATTAGTAATGATACCAGTTGTGAAAGGAATTCTACACCCTGTTCATTATCAAAATTTCATATTATTTTTGTTGCAAACTGTCCAATGTCACCTAGTTGTCTTTTGTTTAAGTACGTTCATTAGTTTTTATTTGTGCGAATTTGTCGGTTAATTAGTTTATTTTTTTATCATTGGGAAGTGATGAGTTATGCCTAAAAAGCGGACATCTAGCGCCTAAACTAGGTCGGTGGTTACAGCGGGTTAATCTAGTAGAGTTAAAAAACCTCAATTGCGAAACATTGGTGTACATGGGCTTCACGATCCTGAAGGAACGAATGGTATACGAACCTACTTTTGGTAACTGGCTAACATATGACGCCAGCTCTTGATGGTGCCACAATCCCTAGTGATCTAGTTCTTTAGGTGAAAGACTCAGAAAGATACCTTCTTTGTTTAAGACTCCCGATCAATATACCAGCCTGAACACAAATTTTATTTGTGTATACTGTTTTTCGTACTTAGTTGTACCAGATTTTATATAGATTAAATAAAATCCTAAAATGGTGAAGTTTACTGTTGATGGTTCCCTGTGGCAATGTATATAATTGGGTAAAATATTGAGGTTTCAGGAATTTACATTTTTTTTTACCATCAAAATAGTGGTCATAACACAAAATACCCAATAAAATTATTGGTCAGTAATGTTATAAGGGCTTCATTGACAGGTACAATTACTGAAATATTAGTTGATTCGTATTCCCGATCCCCCGAATCCCAACTTTACACATTTCAGGTGAAAGGGCCACTGGTTGAATAAGTTATATATACTAGAGAACAAAAACTGTTATTGATGTTCTTAAATATTTAAAAAATAGTAGCTGTGTGGTCTAATGGTGAAGCTTTCCTTGTCTTTCTAGACAATATTGTTAACACAAGCTTCAGATAAAACTGAATTATTCTAATTTTTCCACATATAAGTAACAGCTTCTCTGGTCAACATTGATTTCAATTAGGTAAGAGTCAATAATAGTCAGTTAAGATCAATATCGACCAATCAAGCCTTTAATTGCACAAGGGGAAATTTGAATAATTCGGTTCTATCTGAAGCTGACGCTAACATTATTGTTAAACCTTCCAACTCAATAAACACAACTGCTCCAGAATGTTTTTCGGGAGTATTTTCTACTTGCGTTATTATTATTATTATGTACTTCTTGTGTTTTAGCTCCGAAACAAATCAAAACTACAAACCTTTAATATTAAAACAATACACATTTTCTCAAAATTCACATGAAATAATTAATTTAGAAAAACCATGTTGTATTAATCATGCATCTGATATATACACATCATCACAGCTAATTAATACCTGTCTCAATTCAGTGATTTATGGATTGTTCGAAGCGGTAGAACGTGGATTAAAATATACATATTCCAAGTGTCCTACTACAACAACTAATTCATTGTCATCAACAATGTGCAATTCTACTATGTTTCTTAGTGATGATGATGACGATGATAATGATAGCCAACATCATCATAATTTCTTAACTTATAAAACATTTTTTATATACTCTGATATTGATATGGAAGAATTTGAAAATTATGCAACTCATGTTTATATTGATGTAAATCAGATAACGTCTTATGTTAAAACTAGTACCTTAGATGTCATTTATAATGACATTAATAATAATAATAATTCATTCTTCTCATCATCATCATCATCATCCACTTCGAAATCGACTTATAACTCCAATATTCTATCTTATCCAAATAAAAACTCTGTACAACAGACTGTAGCATCCGTTTTATTGAAATATTTACATTTTATTCAAACTTCATTTCATTTAATATTTGACGATAATAAATTGTTATTAAATCAACAAGAAATTTTACAACCTTTATACACAGATCCTGTTCATTTATATAGTGACAACAATAGTAATACATTTTCGACGCCTCCTGTACATTTCACAATAAGAGGTAAGTATTTGTGGACGGTAAGTGTTTATAGTGAGTATGAATTCTTTTAGTCGGTTATAATCAACGTATAGCCTAGTACACATGTGCATTGTCTCAAGTCAACATATCACATAAACACGAGATGAATAGTAATGGAGTCAAAATAAATCCAGCCGTAATTTTAGGGAGAAGACTGAACATTGAGGAAATGGTTCATGATGACAGAATCGAAAAGTATGTCTAATTAAATATTGATATTCAAGATCTAGAGTAAGGAAAATAGTAAATAGATCTAGGCATCTATGGTCGATTCTGAACCATTTCACCCATTGTCTTTAATCGATTAAACCAAAATCTAGCATTAGTTCATAAAGTTATTGACCACTGAACTGAAAATATACGTAAGTGCAGACAACGTGGCTGGAGTTCGAGCGGTTATTGTAATCTATAGTTGGAGACAGGATAACATAAATAAAAACCAGTCACAATGATGCAGCTCTGTTCATTATTTGCATTCTCTTAGACCGTTTCTGTTCCTCGAACTCATTCTTATCAAATCATATTTCCTATGTCTTGCGTATTTTTATCAGCACTGATATTTTTATTAATACTACAGTGGTATTCATCTTGCTATGGTGATATAAAGTGTGGCACATAATTGGAAGTTTTCAATATTTCTGCTCATAACTGATTAACTTCACTTGCACACGATATCAGTGATGAATTGTTTCTAGGCCAACAACTCTCACCACTCTATCTTCCTTCACATTCATTGTTTGAATCCTTACCATGTCAAAAATGACCTTAATTTTATTGTGTTTATAAAAATTAAATAACTTTTTTTCCAAAAAAATTTGTTCTCAATCCACAGATTCGTCTACTGTAAATTCAACTAGTGATATTTCCGGTAGATATTTAGAGTCATCTACATCAAATAATAATAATTCGCACGTCGTATCAGGATCTTCACATTATTTCCTCAGTGAAAGACTTGCGTTAGAAATACTCAACAATGAGAATATTTTCAATTTTACAGGAATTGACATGTACAGTGGTGGTAGTAGTAACGAGAATTTTTTTACTTTAAATCCTCCATCTGCAACCGTTGAAGATGAAATTAATGATGATGATGATGTTGATCACGATGGTGATGATTCTGTGGATTCTGATTTTTCGGAAATTAAATGTATACCTAATATAGGAGTTTTGTCGAAGGGTACAGAAAGTGAGAAATTAGTTTTATTTGTATATTGTATCTAATATTTTTTAATAAATGATTTGATTTCAGGATTCTAAAACATTCACTATTATAAGACATTGATGAATAGTTGAATCCGGTAAGTAATATGTTTCTAGATATTTATGATTATCATACTCATACGTGAATTTCCAAACGTAGCAGTTGGAAACATAAACATTTAGTGTACTTCACAACAGGTAGATTTTGGCCAGCACGGAAATCCAGGATTCTTGCTCTGTCCTATTCGAGACTCATAGGTTGAATGTACATGTACCTCAGCGCTGATATTCACACCGGGATTCAAACGTCACTGTATTCACTTCAAACGTCCTATGCGTTATCCACTGAGCTAGTGAGTCCAGATGATCACTAACTTATTCAACGGCCTTGATATTTGTATTATTATTATTAGGAAGCTTTTAAGTTATCCCGTTGTTGATATATACTGAGTACTAATCCAGGTATGAACATCACTGGGTTTCAATTAAATCCAGTCGACGACGAAATTCGATTTCTGATCTCCACTACTAACCATAATCCATACGTTCTAAATGTTTTGTGTCTTGATATCTATTTAGAGTCGATCCGTGCAAGTTAGTATTAAAAACTGATCGAAATTCAGTTCTAAACATCAACCACAGGAGAACTCAAACTCTTTTTTAATAAAATTATTTAGTATCATTTTTCTAATGAACAGAAAATACCGTAACTTTATCTTTATTGGTACCTTTACATACATTTGCATACAAGAAAAATGAGTTGCACTTAACACAATAATTCATAAAAAATCTAAAACTGTAATACAATTAATTTCAAGTTCAGATAATACACATTCATTCACTGCTAATTAATTCATCATTATGATTTAAATTTGATGTATAAATAAATAACTCACAATTCATACATATAATGTTGTTTCTGATTTCTTTTACAGAACTCATAGAATTGTCTGACTGTTACACTTTCACTTTCGATACTAGCCTTTATGAATTGTGTCTTCGTAGTGCATCTGATCTTGCTCAAGAACCTGTTGTATCACAGATTTTACCATCAACTATAGTGTACGTTAAAATTAGTTTTTGTTGTTCATCTTTTAAGTTTTTTTTAAACTTAACTGGTTATGTTTAGTTCATTTTTATATGGTAAGAATTTATTTTGAATTTCCTATTATAACTGGTCTTGTCCACCAGCGTTCATATACCTGTATGATCATGCCACTTGATTGAACTGTGCTGTTCAGGTTGTAAAAACCCTGGATATCGTCTGGTTTTCTTGGAAGCCAGAGTATAATATCTCTCTAGCAGGGTTTACTTATAATTGAATTGTGAATTATGATTTGTCATAAAGTTTTCTCCATCTCTGACTGTTCAGTTTGTTTCGCCTTCACAAATTTTGTCGTTCCTATTATGCTTTGATACCATTAAATTTCGACAAAGCAGTTTTAGAATTAATTGACTTTGGACAACTTCTATACCCTCAAGTAATGGGATTGTGAATTAAGCTTCAGTGAAAAGGGTTACATACCTCAAATGATCATTAGATCTAGAACAATGCTGGTAATTATTTCCAGAGTTGTTAACATTTTGATTAGCAAATTTATAGGAAGTTGGTTAGAATAGTTAAGCACTTATCTGAAAAAACTATCGTTATTCACTAAACAACCAAAGAATCTTAAGTGACTTTATGAGAATATTATATTACTAAATACCTGTAAGACTGCGAAAAGCTAGCGGCATTCATTTAGTAATCGTTTCATGGTTCGCATCTCAGCTATGATCAGCAACTGTTACAGAAAAACTGAAGATACTACCATCTCAATTAATTTTTAGTGGTTAAGTTGCGGTTTATATTCATAACTCAATGATTACAAATAGATTTCTCAAATAAATCTATTCCTTTCTACGGAGTAAAAAATTTGTGCTTCAAGTATTATTCCTTGAACCCTGAGATCGCCAAGACCACTACCAACCTAGTCACTTTCCAGGTACATTAAGGAAAAGTATTTTTCCATAGTGCAGGCAACTAGGAAGCGATGACCACCTCCATACCTTTAATAGCACTCGCAACTGACGTAATGTTCCATAAATGACTTTACTATATTCGACATGTGATAATGAAGCTTTAATAATCGGTAACAAACTACCTATTTCTTCTTCACATGTATACTAATTTTTATTCAAGCATAAATTTGACTCTCATGATTGTGTCCATACATAAGTGCTAACTCTCAGATACTTTTATCTTGTTGCGATCTGTTGGCGATTTATGTAATTTTCTACCGCTTTTTTTGTAGGAATGATTTAAAACATCTATATTCACCTCATATTTATTCGATGCGTCGATCACGATTCGGATAATCTGAATAAGAAAGATTACAAAACCTCATTTTCATATTTAATGTTCTAAAAGTTTCATTTATAAACTATATAATATCCTGACTTGTAAACCTTTCGCTATAATATCGTGTACATTCATGTTCCAAAAATGTTTTGCAATTACCAATTCATGATTTCACCTTCAAAGTGTAATCCTTCTTATTTTTACCCGTTGTTAAACATCCCTCAAAGGCTTGTTAAGGCGTTAGTTTAGTAATTTCAATCACTCGTTCTGCTGTTGGAAAAAAATAATAAACGAAATCTCCCTCACAGATTATGATGTCAATGAGCGAAGTTTTATGGTTGCTTTCGAATGACGCGCAATCACAGAGTGAAAGTAACTCATGAAGAAAATAACACAGTGAAGTCGATTGAAATTTCGATAGTACTATATTTTAGTTGTAATAGTTTCAGTGTATTCAACTTGTTTAACGAGACTTTGTCTTGAATCTATAATCTTCCAAACATTTTATGAACAACAGTATTTGAAATATCGATCGTGGACCGTAACCCATGTCAAATGTATCTACAGTCACGTTTCAGTATATAGAGATCATTTAAACGATTATTTCGGAGACTTGGTTGGTTGCTTTAACTTCTTAGCTTACAAAAGATAACTGGTTTGTGTTTTGTTTGAAAAGATTCTTGTCACATGTAGATTTTGGATACTTTGTGCTGCTGCGTTTGCGTGACATCAAGGATAAATATGAAGATGGAAGTTCCAAATATTTGATTTTCAATTCCTTCCTATTGAGCCGACAGTGCTATCGCGGAAGTTATAAATTATAGATAAATTAAGTTCTAGCTCAGTAGTTAAAGCAGTCGCTCTTCAACCAGTAGGTCATAATTATGAATCTTGCTGTAACTACTTCCGCAGAAGGTGTAGAGAGTCAGCTCTCCCTCACAAAATACTCACATGTCCACGAGTATACAGCCACTGTCGGGAAAGTTCTACTCACTGCCTTCTCGTGGCATTAGTTGTTTACGAAATCGAGAGGCCGAAAAGCGAATGTCCGACGCTCTAACTGGGTTGGTGGATATGGAAGATCCACCTAGGGGAGTTGGAAAACCCTGACTCCAAACCAATAGTACACATGAACTCTGGGATCCTTAGGGAACAAATGTCGTACGGACCAGTTACTGGTCACCGGCTACCATGTGAATGCATCTCTTGACCGAAGCCTTTGGGTGTGGCCCTCCAAAAAAAACCACGTGCTTCGGTCTGAGCACCCGTGCAGTATCACAAACGCAAATTAAGTGACTTGTGTGGCGCATATGTATTCGGTGCCCCTTTGTACTCATATTTATGTGTTCAAATAAATAAATAAATACTTCGCCATGGATGCTAGGTAGCATCACTAGTTCTCACAAAAGCAGTCTGACACAAAGGTGAGCGCATAACTTTGCACTTGGCAAGTGAATTATTACATAATTACATAATTATTAAGGTGAATGACTGAGCCTGGATCATTTGGTCTCATTTCGCAGCGTAATCTGGGTACACCTATCCGAGATATGATAAGCACAAAAACTTTGTGACAAACAAAAGCTGCTGCAGTTCACAAATTGTAGTATTTTAATTAGTTGTAAAGTTTCGCCGAATTACCTAAGTGAATTTATTGTATTCCGTTATCTACCGAGCATTAACCTCTGTTTTCTGAAAAGCTTGTGCTAGTCAACTCGTGAAAAATAACTTCGTATTTTTATGCCTAACTAGTGAAAATAATTGTGTTTGTTATCTTTAAAAAAATATTTCTTCATATTAAATGTATATTTGCTTGTAGAACATTATGTAAATTCTATATTTTTATCCGTAAAATTTGATTGTAATATAAACGCAATTCAATAACAAACAACATCGGGAAATGCATTTTCATTGACGGGATACGCTTATGGGTGTGTTCGCCATATCCATTTTTCTTCGTTTACTAATTGTTGGTGATGCTCTAGAATCTTGGCTGGGATTGAATAACTGACAACAATTTCAAAAAACATTTAACTTGTTAGGAATATAAAATAATTTGGACTATACATTTAAAATAACAATGTGCATAATCCCGAAATAAATATTGACACTGGATAACCCTATTTGGTAAATACACACAATATTCTATATAATTTCTCTTACAATGACACCCGTTACCTAATTAATCTTAAGTACTGATATAAAGGAAGTGTTCAAGAGTTACTTAAAAATAGTTTGAATCTAGGCTCAAATAAACATATGAATTAACAAGAAAAGTGTAAAAAATAAAGCTCTTTGTTATCAGTGAGGGATTCTTCGCATTATCAATTCTAAGTTTGCCACCTAATATTCCTCAGTTTGACCAAAATTGAAAATTACGTTGGTTTCTGAAAAAGGTATATATTACACAATAGTACCAGCTCTTACTGTCTTTAAATGTTTCTAAGTATATGAGTCTGCGAAGCATAATACTTCTATTATGTTACGCTATCATTCTTGATACATTTCAAAATGTTAGAATTAGCATGGCTACTTAGAAAAGCTTTGTATAGCCAAAATCATCACAAATAGTACGGAAAAGCAATATTGCTTCTTCCATTCCTTCAGCAAGAAATTGGTCTTACCTTTGTATAACTGTCTGATTCAATCATAAATTTAGTCTGTTCGAAAATCCTAATTACTAAATGACATTCATAGTCTAGTGGATGTAGAGTTTCAAAAGGTAATAACGTGAAACAGCTGTTCACTAAGTATTCACGGCTGTGGAATTTGAGACTGCTCCTGGCGAAAAAATTCAACGTAAGAACGCTCAGTGAATTCGCTTAGTATGGAAGATCTGTTTAGGTAACTTGAGCACTTTTAATTTACGAAATAAGGAGATTTGCTGCCATAGATGACTTAATACAACTTGCTTCATAAGTAGCTAAGTTGACAGAATCTTAGACGTACCTCATCGTATTCCTTTTCTGATACAGACTTTGATGCACCGTGAGCGCGTTTCTAAAATGGAATGACCGAATACATGAGTAATGGTTTTTAACATCAATGGACACTCCGATAGTTACAAAAAGTATGTGAAAGGTTGCTAGAAAAGCTAAAGCGAAAATTTGCAATAACCTTAGTCATTGCACTATGAAAGTTCATCTCTCAGTGAAACCAGATACTAAACATATTTTTCGTTCGAAACGTCCTGTACCATATGCTGCTCTTGAATTAGTTGATCAGGCCTTTAGTCGTTTCCAACAAGCTGGTGTAATCCAAGCAGTCAACTACTGTGCATGGGCCTCACCTATCGTAGGGAATAACGCTGACGAAACTATACGCATATGTACCAACTTATCAACCGGTTTAAACGCTGCTCTGGATGTATATTAGTATCCGTTTTCAGTTCCTGAAGAATTGTTCGTTAAGTGGTGGAACATGTTTTGCAAAAATAGACTTTTCTTATGTTTGTCTGCAAGTGGAATTAGATGATCATTTTAGAGAGCTTCTAACCATCAACACTTATCAAAAGTTATTTCAATATACCCTCGTACCACTTGGCGTCCATACCGCACCTGCCACCCTTTAGTAAATGATGGATGCGATGTTAACAGATATACTTGGAACAGCAGCTTATCTAGATGTTATCATTGTTATGGGTTCAACTGAGAGCGAAATTTCTGATCGACTGAATCAAATTCTTAGCCGCGTGATGGAGTGTTGTTTCCAACTACCTGAAGAAAAGTGTATCTTGTTCATGCATTCGATGAAGTCTCTTTATTTTGTCTTCAATAAGAACGGTAGCCGACCGGATCCAGTCAACATAGAAGCCATTCAGAAGATCCCTGCACCGACTGATGTCTTTTCATTAAGATCCTTCCTGGCACTAGTTAATTACTACTCATTTCTCCTTGAAATGCGTCGAGTGTGAGGTCTCTTGAATAAATTACTTTCAAAACAAACTTTGGCAATGGTCAGCAGAATTCCTAGCATTTTTTGACAAGTTCATATTCATGCTCAGCTCGAAGCTTCCCTCAACACACTTCGATTCCCGCATGAGAATTGTTGCTGCATCTGATCCCTCTAGTCATGGAGTTGGGACACTGATATCTTACCTGTTTCTAGATAAATCAGAGAAGACGTTTGCTTATGCTACTAGATTACTCAAATCAGCCGAGCGGAACTACTGCCAGGTTGAAAAGAATGCCTTTTCAACCATTTTTGCTGTTAAACGATTCCATAAAATGCTCTATGGCTGTATGTTTACTTTACTGACAGACCACAAACCATAAATTTCAATATTTAGTTTAAAGAAGGAAATACGGCTAAAAGATCAAAACACTGAGCGACAATACTTCTGAGCTATGACTTCAATATCAAGTATCGGTCAACAAACACTATCGGTCAAGCCGACGCTCTGAATTGTTTGATTGGAGTTCAACACGCTGAATCAGAGGACATGATCACTGCTTCCATAGAAGTAGATCCGGAAGTACGGAATGTATTAGTAAATGCCATTCGAAGCACTCCAGTGTCGTCAGATGAAGTCAAAGAAGAAAATCTTCGAGACCGAGTTATGCAAGAAGTTAATAAGTTCCATCTAGAAGGATAGCCCTTCAAGATAATCTCGAGAAAGCGTCGGCGCAGATAATCTCAATCAACGGTGACTGCCTTCTATTTGCCGAACGTGTCATCCCAAAGAAGCTGCAACCAGCAGTGCTTGAACATTTGCACGCAGGACATCCCGAAATAAATTGGAGGAAGGCGCAAGCATGAAGTCATGTGTAATGGCTACTTTTAGACACCCAACTGGAGCAGCTATCCCATTCGTATATTAAATACGCATTAGCAAAAAAAGCACGGCAGTAAACTGGGCTGCAATCATGGCCAATACCACAGTCATTGTGACGGTGTATACAACTGGACTGCACTGGTTTACCTCACGGACAAACTTACATTTTGGTAGTTATTAAATACAGCAAGTGATTAGAAATTCTTTTTATGAAACATCCAACTGCAAGCTGCACAGTCAGAAAACTACGTCAACTATTCAGTCGTTTTGGGGGTTCTAAAAGTAATAGCTAGCGACCATGGAACACAGTTTACGTCTACTATCTCGGAATTTTGTCGGCAAAACTAAATAAATCATGTCTGAACACCTTATCCCATCCTCAACCCAATGGCTATGTCGAACGCTTTGTTGGCACATTTAAGAATGCTCTACAAAAACCAAATGTAAGAACCACTGAAAAGATTTCAGAGAGGTCCCTGCTCATCTATCGTTTTACGCAAAACCCTCAGACAATTAACGGGGTCTCCAGGAGAAGCTTTAGTATGCAAAAAATACGGACGCATTTCGATGCCAGCTCTTGGGTCTCAACAAAACAGATCGATATCATGATACACAGATCACTGTATGGTCAAAAAGTACCTGCTACGGACTATCGTAGCACACATCTTACATAGATAGCTGGTCAAACCGTGTTAAAGAAAAGAGATTTGGTTCAGTAAGTGTCAGTAGGCTAAGAATTTCGGGTGCTTCAAGCTTACCAGCTAAGAGCAACTTCGATCTCTAGCAACGAGACTCGCCATAAAATACCTCTTGGTTTTCTGCTGGACACCTTTGAAATCAAAACCCCAGAAACGGACAGGCCAGTCTCTGGTGCCCCTTCTTTATTGCCTAGGAAGTGGATAAACCGAAAGCACAGATTGGCCCAAAAGAGAGGTGTTAGCGGAATATGGATTGGATTAAAGCATATTCTGTGCAAGATTGTGTTTGGAGTACACTGATTGGCAATTTCTTAACTAATTAGCGCTAGCGGATACTTGGAGAAGACTACAATCTTCTTGTGTATAATTATCAATACACTAATGTTCGTCTTATTGTGATTCCTACTTCTATTCAACCCTGTTTGTTTGGAATATAATTATGTTCCTGTTCGACTATGTTCTTATTTGTGGACTTGTCTAGTGAAGTAAAGTATCCAGGAATACCAAGCAATAAGAGCAGCTGAGTCGTAATAGGATAGAACGTAAAAATCTCCGATGGATGTTGGTAATAAAACTTAGAATCATAGAGAATCACAACCTGGCGTATGATGTGATATGTGTTGTGTTTAGATTTAGTTACCGGCTCCTGAACAGGTCGAAAAATGTACCTTCATTCTACTGTTAGTCAGTGTCAGTGTACAGCTAAATCAGAGAATAAATGGTAGTTATATGGGGTGAGGTATTAAGACGTTCCTTACCTTTTAGCGTTTCTTTTCAAATTAAGCTGCGCGTGAAAAAACGTGCACAAAGTTTGTATCGTTCATAATTTCGCTGCATCGGAAAGAGATCTTAAGTGATTGGCGATGACGGGTAACTGGATAAGAATGATAGAATTAGTCATAATCATGACACATCGACCGAATATTCTTGCAACCTAGTTGGGGTTACTAATTTAAACCATCACACGGTTTTAATCCTCACATCACTGACTGAAACAGCAAGTTGTTTAACACATACTGCCGTCAACAACAAAATATTCTCGAACAGAAAAAGCGTGGATGGCTGTCACCATTAAGTATTATTTGGATTCAGTAGACGTTAAAATTTCCTTAACGACAGAGGTTAAATTTGGTTTAACACGATAAACTGACAACTACATTAAGGAAACATTTGCTCAGTAGATCTAGAAGGTTTGGTTGTAGTTCATGCTTATAATCAGATATATCTTCTTTTAGTGTTTAAATCCTCAGTGTTCCTTAAGCTAGTCAGTTTATTCTGATTTTCTGTGGAATAAAATTTACAGTAATAACTAAATCTTTAAACACAATAAATGCTAATGTTTTCAGAATTATAATAGTAGTATTTAAATGATACGATGTACTCTAAAACATTCTGAAAACCGTTAATTATTTTATGCTAAAGTCTTGATTTGAAAGTGCACGTAGTCTAATAAAGTACTTTGCAACAATGTAAAATAATTGCTATTCAAGATTTTATTGCTTATGAATAAAGTGACGAAACCTTAAATTACTTGTAAAATTTCGCATTTAAATTCTTGATTACTAAAATCCAGAGGTGTCAGTAGTTTCCTTTACAGCTTATGTATATATTTTACCTGTCGAATACTTTCTGCAAATGCAGTTTCGTGATATTTTGGTAAACCTAAGTAACATAAATATTTTTCTCTTGCAACTGAACTCATTCAGTTCATCACAGATTTTTTCAGTAAATTCATTTCTATAAGATCATACTAGTTACTGGTTTTGTATTCATATGCATTTCAGAAATTAGAACTATTTTCAGTTGGTGTTTAAAAAGTAAAAAGGTATACTCATAGCACACTCACCCCAGGTGTCCGTCGAATTGTAGTAGATTTTTGAGACGTTAACATTTGAGGGGAAACCTAAATTTATGAAAATATTCCTTGTTTATTATTCAAAGTTTAGTTTATGTGATTTTAACGAAAACCAAATGATTGAATGGAAGTAATCGATAATGATCCAGATTTGTTTGATTTAAAGATGTGTTCCACTACAGATTGACATAGGTCAGACAACCACTGAAAATTAGTGAACGCTGGTCAGCCGTTTCATTCCAATCTGGAATTGAGAAATCCTAAATTTGGATAAAAGTTGGCTAGTACACCTTGATTAAATGTTGCTATGGAAGTTTTGTATTAAGTATTAGAACACACAAACAATACATATTGTTGTGTTATTTCATTTCATAACACTATGGATTGTCTATCTTGGTTACAAAATTGACTCCCAAAATGCTCATTTAACCAAGTATTACTTACCACTGATGTTTTATCGTGCAAACTAATGCAAGAGAAAAAACGTGGACACACAATATTTTCTAGATATTCTTTTTCAACAAGCTTTTCACCTCTGAAATAAAGTAAATAAACATTAATCAACTACAGTGATTATTACTGTTTAACTCAAGAACTATTATGATATATCCGTATTTGAAGTTTCTGTGTGGTTTACTTGGTGATCCAATTTTCTGACTACTTAATTTCACCAGGTATTTATTAATTTGAACTGATAGCTGCTGATATATAATGATGATATTCTAGAATGAAGAACAGGTCTCATGAATGTGATAATAAATAAAAATATAATTCCAATATTTCGTATTACAGTATACTACAGACTCTTTTCTTTTCAGAAATGTTACATTTTAACTATCTAAAAATTCCCATCATATTCACAGACTAATATATGAACGAAAAATATTCTTCTGAATAAATTCTCTTCAAATTCTTCAATTATATTGAGAATAATAGTTCAAAAACTGGGCAGATCTAAAGCAAAATACATTGTCTAAAAGTATGGCATGTGAAATAAAATTGTTAATGGTGAGGTGACTAATATGCAATGTTAACTTGAATAAGCTTACACGTTAAATGAAATTGTGAGATTAATGATCAGAATAAATATGGGTCAGATAGGATGAGAGAATAATTTAATAACAAATCCGATCAAATGTTTAGTGTATAAATCATACATTTACTTATCCGATTTTATGGATACTCCTAATATGTTGCATATCTGATGAGCAATGTAGAGGATATTTTCAAGTGTCATCAAAACTCCGAAAAAATCTCAACCTTTGGTTTCTATGTGAGCTTATCATTAAGAAAACGTCTTACCTTCGCGGTCCTGCTCCTTTAATAACTTGCTCCTTGATTAAACGATTGAATAATCCACGAGCCACGGTATACTCTACTCCAAGACTTCTAGCTATAAAAGCGGGTGAGACTGAATCTTCGTTGAGACACAGTGCTAATACACGTCGAAAGAGACAAGTGGCCTGGAAATATTTGAAAATGACTTATGGTTTTTACACAAACTTGACATATTTATGGAAATAAATCTGCACTTACCATTATCTTATCAATTTACTGAAGTTATTTGTGATTTTAGCACTTAAGAACCTGTGAAAAACTTCATTTCTAGTTATATACCACTTTCTAAGTCTAAAACAAGAAGTTAAAAAATCTACACAGAATTAAGCTCAGACGTCTTGTTGTAAGAGATGAAAAATTGTACCGCTGGATACTAATGCACTTCCTAAAACGTCAAATAGAAGTCCACATTTCAGCAGTAAAACTGAACTTGTTATGAATACAGTTTGTAATTCTGAAGTATTGTTTAGGTTTGCCAAAAAGAGTACAGCTTATTTTACTTCATTGAATTCCTTTTATATTCATAATCGCATACTCATTAGAAGAAAAATTAATAAGTATCCTTTTTTCATCTACGATACAGTTGTAGAAGTCAGAATAACTTAATTTTTCCAAATTACCTTTTCTACTTATATCAACGCATTACTAAATGACTGTTATCTTTAAATCTCATCAACACAATTAATTACTCAGAAACATGTATTTACTTCAGAATGGAGAATACTAAATGTTCACTATTTTATAGCATATACCTTACATCGGACCTAAAAGACAAAACAAAACATTTAAACTATGTATTATGGTATTAGATCTATTCACTTTTTTAAACTTTGTAGATAAATATAAGATTGCACTTTAATAAAGTTCGCAAATTTCATCTATTCAAGATACTAATACTAAATCCCATTCATAGTTAAAATGAATTTTGGATTAAAAGTAAAGAATGTGTGGTGTTTTTCTACCGTCTCCTAAACTGTATTGTTGAATCCATATTACAACCAATGAGAGTTAATTTTAAAGTTCAGTGAAAAATTAGATAAAGGTAAATACAAATGTTCACAAATCAATCTCATAAGATTTAGTCTAGTTGATAATAAATTATGTGGTTCTTATACCAATAAAGTTTCCCATCCACTAGATTTTACTTGTCAGATTAATAATTCGCTTAAATGCCTTTTACGGGGGAACTCAATGGCTATAAACAAACGATAAGATGAATGAAGTTTGCATCCAAAATTTACTAATTGGGATTCCAGTTGATTACACAAAAATATAGTTTTCTGGCTAAAACTGTCAGATCTTCAATTGACTGACTTTAACAGTCCCAATATTACTTTTCAGAGGAAATTAGGATACCTAGGGACATTTATTGATTAGTTTGAATATATATTTACCTCAATCCACTCAAGACGACATTCATAAATATGTTAATGGTTTCTCGCTAAAATATACGACAATAATTAATCCTTTGATATAATACACGTTTAAATCTGCTTCCACGTAGTTCTGTTTCACATTATCTAACACTTATCTATGTGTTTCCCGAAGATAAATCAAATCTATATTGATCAAACTGATATGTTTATAAAAGGCAGGTATAAATACACAAAGACTAAGTACTATTAGAAATACTACAATTGAGTAATAACAAGACATTTGTGTTTAGACAGAGAATAGAGGATACTATAACTGATATATTAAAACTCATTTCAAATGGATATACTACATTGACTATTACTCTATTAATCGAAAAATAAAGAAATAAACCTTTATAGTCTTAGGTATGTTTGTTATGATTTTATTCACTCGCAAATCTAACTGCCTATCCATTGTGTCACTGAGAAGCTTCAAAATAAGAGGTCTATGTTAGTTAATGTTCTCTCTGAAATTTATCACCAATATTTTTGAAGAATGCTCGATTATTATTTTGAAAATTTATGAAAAATCATTATTTCTCTACAAAACATCCAATTTCAGTAAGACATTTCGGATATTGATGTCAATCATTTTAAAGTGTTACAAATGTGCGATGAATCAGTTGAAACGTTCCAGAAAGACTAAATGAACACTCTTTTCAACCCATTATTAAAGATGAACAAATACTTCTTACGAGCAAAACAAAATTTGTCACTTAAAATAGAGTCGGCTATATTGTAACAATACGACTGCCGATAACGAAAGAGAATTTTTATTTGTCCTTATTTGATGATGGATTTTAATGTGATAAAATCCAATGATAAATTACACTCTTGTAACTGAATATTGATGGTGTTGTTAACGAATTACTAAACTGGTTCGTTTGGATAATAGATTATTAATAAATAAATGAACTTTTACATCTTAGTTCATTTTCTAATTATTATTGTTAGCTTTCGGAAGTAATAGGTTTACTGATTATAGATCTACTGTTAAAATAAATGATCATATTACCCAAAGCTTTTTACTAGGCCACTTTGAAAATAACCAACTAAAAATAGACTAATCAGTTTAACAAACTACCTTTCTGGCTTCAACACCCAAATTCTGAATAGTTTCATCTGTGATTCCTCCGGTTTGAAGAAGTTCAGGCTAAATGATTCAACAAAAGTAGTTTCAAAGTTATAATAACTTAAACTATACTATTTTTGTCATATATATATGGAAAATAGATTCTAGTTACACACGTTTAAAATCATAGAAATCATTCATATGAGGGATTTACAGGTGGTCGATTAATAATTTTTGAATTCCTAAAGTATATACCTTTGACGATCGTCAGTGAAGTAGTAGTATTTTTCAGTATGAGCAGGGAGACTGTACTGACTGTACTGAAGTAAAATCTCGATTTTTTATCTTAATTATACTTATATCTTTATTAGAGAATATTTGAATTCAACAACAGGATAATTCAAACCCATTCTAATAATGATATAAATATAATGCACGTTGAACAACTGAATGCCAACTAGATTCAGTAGCTCAGTGTGTAACCCCTTTTTCCCTTTTGAGTCTCTATCTGAGTATCAACGAGTCCTGGATAGAATAAAATGCACGTTCAGGACTCCACTACAAGCAAAACATTTCTCAGTATAATTGATCCTAATAGAAATTAAGGAACGTTTATTAGCTGCATTTTTAAAATATCTATTAGTTTATTTAAAGTATCACCACTTTCACAGACTTGTAGCAACGTTTTATAGCTTTCATCTGCTAATAAAAAGCTCTTCGCATAGTACGTTACGCTATCTTTTTAAAATATTTAACTTATTATTTATTTTACAACTGAACTTACAATTCCAGTACTAAATTTTCACACTGAAAACAACATCTTAAAAATTGGATTCGGTGTTTTAACACTTTCAACTAATGTGGAAAACAGACGGCTAGAATTCTTTCTTTATAATAAGATATTTTAGACTGAACTGAATAAAAAATAATTATATGTTAGTTAGATTAACATTCAGGTAGTGCAACTATATCCATAATTTTTCCTGAAGTAGACCTTGTACTCTGTATATTCTAGACGTAAAACTAGTTAGCCATAAATGTTTTTTAAGTGTAGAATAATTCAAAAGTTGCTTCTTTTCACTCAAGAAAGTCAGGTAAGTTTTAACGCAAGACAAATTGTACAGGCACGTTTATTTGTTCAAACGTACCACTTTCTTACTGAGTGCAGACTGTGTCATCAAAATATTGATCGTATCAACAAATGTTTGCAAAGCGAATAAAAATGGTTTCATTTACTTGAAAAAAATCAATAGGTATTACCTTCAATTTAGCGCAGATCTCACAAACATGTGATGTAGGAACGTCTCCTTCTTGTAGAATTCGAAAGCAAACAGCATGCTGCCATTTATCACATCCATCACATAAAATCATCACGCCATCGTCCTAAAAAAAATCAAAACCTTTCTCGTTTATAGAAATTTCGTTTTAAAGTATTATAACAGGACAAAATGTAACCAAATAAGTTGTATACATGTATCTTGACCACATACTTAGAAAAACTGTAGTTATTAACGTCCAATATTCTTTTAGTAAATTAAACAGTTTATCAAACTTCATTATAATTAAACACTAAAATTTCTCCTAACGTAATAATAATAATCTTTTAATCCTAACCATTTTTTATGAACCCTTTACAATAAAATCTGCCTAAGTGTGAAATCACTTACTGTTTTACGATAAAACGTATAACTATACATTTCTAATTATTCCCGTCAATCAGGGAACTTCCATAATCAGTTACATTTCTATCTTATACAAATCGAATATGCTAATCAACTTTTGTAGTGGTAAAAACATTCTGTCAGTCACGATACCATGTATCGGTTGGCATAATTACAAATCTTGAGAAATACCAAATCACAAAAAATTGAAAAGCGATTGCACTTCATAAAAAAAATCTGATTCAACTGATCACTCTTCGGATTATCGAACTAAATGAAATTTAATTCAGTATGAATTACAATATGTACTTATCTTGTCGAAACCAAAATAATCTAAATCTATTTGTTTTTTCTGGTGAAACAAATCAAAAACAAAATGGTAATACCAAGCATAAAAGTTGTAATCCAATGCATATGAACAGAGAAATTCTCAATTCATAAAAAAAATGTTTTAGATCAAATAGGTTTTAGTTTCAAAAAACCTAAATAGATTTTTTTTAAATCGTATTGATATATATTTTATTTACTAGCGTATATGCAAAAACTAAGTGAAACCAATCCTTTAACTTTATAATCTACCTGCTTGAAAAGTAGAGGTAACAAAAATAATGACTACTTTGGGACTCAAGTGTCTTCTCAAATTTCGTTTTTTTTAAATTTTCTTATAAACAGAATGGGTTTTGTGAAGAGTTTTAGAAACTTCACAGGTTCAAATCATGAGTCGATTGAAACTAGACCACCATGGAAAACCTGGAAGCACTGGACGGCCGTTTCGTCCCAAGATGGGACTCCTCAGCAGTGCGCATCCACGACATTAACACCTTTCGATGCCGGCTCAATTGTTTAGTGGTTAAGTGCTCGCGCGCGAAGCCAGTAGGTCCTGGGTTCGAGCCCCGCGTGGTGCGGGGTCGTGGATGCGCACTGCTGAGGAGTCCCATATTAGGACGAAACGGCCATCCGGTACTTCCAGGTTTTCCATGGTGGTCTAGCTTCAATCGACTCATAATTTCAACCTGTGAAATCTTATAAACTTTATATGATAGAAAAGAAAGATTCAATGAGTAACATGACTTGAGAAATTTCATAATAAAATGAAGTTAAATAGATGCTATTTAAGCCAAGCAGAAGTTCCTACTACTTAAAAGGGAAAAAGGATTCATTGAAATTAAATATAGTCATAATTTAAACGAAATCGTTTCTGATTTTTCTTTTAAATAACCAATACAAATCACTAGAACTTTTGCATTGGTTGCTGTTGTAGATAAAAGCACTGTAGAAAGAGTTTTTAATTTGATAGTTTAGTGGTGTGAATAAATTTCATTCAATTTTTGTGCATTTCTAGGTTTGTAACGGTTGTTATATTTAGTGGAATAACTCTCACTATTTTCGTTTTCAGTTAATATTTGTATAAAATTAAATCCATAAACCTGTGTATTTTAAGTGGATTGGCAAAATGTTTCAGCATGCAATTCGAAATGTCACAACACAGTGCAGTCAATTAGTGTTACGAACGGTAACTTATTCTGAATAACTTGCTTAAAAAACATTCTTGGAAATAGGTTAATTAAATTTTTATTTTTATGCTAAACTGATCAGCTTTTTTAACTAGAAGACTGTACACGATACAACCCAAGATATAAAATTTCAAATAAGTCTTGATCAGTATTATTCATCAATTATACATTTAGTAACACGGTCGAAATTTATTTACAAATTAAGTAGTGGTTACCTCAGTAATACGAAAAAAAGTCGGACATCAAGGCTTATTCCAAATAATTGAAGTTTATCACTTCATAAGAGATAGCGAAGTAATATTTCAATCTTTTTTACCTAAATAAAACCAATTTTGGTCAGAGAAAATACACCTAGCTATTACGCGTAACCAGTTAGAGTGACGACTATACTTTTAAGTATATGTAGATCATTTGGGATTTTCTGTATGACACTTAGACTACTGAAACAAAATATACGAGCGAAGCAATGTGACTTAAATTCTATTAAAGCAAAGTTAGTGACTACACACTTCGAAGTGACCAGAAATATTATTATTGACAAACTAGCAATATAAATGTATGCACTTAAAAGAATATGATCCCCTTAGATATTCGTCAAGTTAGTCATATACAACTTAAAACTTGAAACAAATATAAGTTTGCCCGAATTCCTACAATTTCTACCAATATAGGAGGAATGAACTAGCAAGATACAAATCGGATAGGTCGGAGTATTAAGGTTAGTAGTGGAAAAAAAGCAAAAACATTTGGTTTGAAAATGGTGAGTAAAATCGAGCGATGAGAAATACAAAGTTCTATCACAACCCAATACTTAGCGGAAAAGGGAAATTGAATTCAAATGAACCCCTACAAATAAATTCTAGTCGTGTCGTTTAAGCTCTTTAATCGTAGAATCCAGTGGTCTCTCAGACTCCAATCGGAAATAAGTTAAGAGAGTTAAATTGTGCTAACTTTTTTAACCTTCCGTTTGAGGTCGTTATAAGATGTTAATGTTACTTTTATGGTTCGATGAATATGATAAGCTAGCACGTGATGGACACAGTTTAATATTGCTCTGTGCCAATCTCATTCTTTCATAAATATATAACTGACACATTGATCTTCGAACTGATCTCTCTAGGGATTTCCTGTTACAACTTTTCTGTGTCCTGTGATTCACAGACAACGCAAAATCGCTCAAAAGCGTCATAAGAGTCCAGATATGTGCTCCAGATATAATGACACCTATTTATCGAATATCTTCATGGATGAAAGACAAGGGTGTGATCTGAATGTAGTTTAGTCGATTTTATCGGTCACTAGGTCAGATAATTTCTCACTTCATAATCGAGGTTGATCCCCTTTAACTGAGAACAAGTTTCTGAAGATACTTGCGACAGATGACTTCGACCTTTTCAAAAACGAGGCCAAAAGCCATGCTTTGACTTAACCTGTTTATTTGCGCGTTAAAGCCATCCGCTGCACTTAATAGATGAGAGAGCCTAGCTGTCTGAAGGATATCCAAAAGCTGTAGGTGGAGTTATTCATTTACTTTATCCAAACTCCAATCAGTGAAACAATGAAACATAAACGATGTTTTCCCCTTTACTTCTGAAGTCTTATTGATTACTTTAAGAAGAGGTAAAAAGCGATCATTGGCTGGAATCCACTTAAGAAAAACCTATACTGCTTTTGAACTTAGTGATATACATACACCAGTAAATTAATAAACATTGCAGTCAAGTATTTATAAACTCGATGGTCGAACCACACTGGTATCCCACATCATGAGATGAAGTCGTGTCAATAAGCAGACTTTGCGCTAAGTGCAAGATTAGAAGACACAGATTTTCAATGACAAGGGATAATGAAATCGTAGCTGGTGAACGCTTTTGTTCGATCAGACATCAAAAGTTTTGAACTGCGGTTTGAGACGTAGTGTTAGAACGAGTAACAATACTTTGTGGACTTCAGCAGATCACAGTAGGGACTAATGCGAAGAGAAATCAAACCAGGTGAGGAGGGTTAACAACATAAATACTAAAGGTATCATGGAATGATCAAATGAGTTTCATGGTGACAAATTTTTTTTGAAACGAGGTCAATTAACACTCCTCGGTTGTAAAAACTATAATTAGATTTGAAATGGTAAATATTTTGTGATTCATACAAATAAAATTATTCCTAAGTAATTACGTACTGAATTCTTGGATTTATACAAAAACATTAACGTTGGTCGATAACTATCTTCACGTTAAAATTCCATCGATGTGGATAAAACGTTTTTGGTGTGTTACTTCAGCCAGAAGTTTATCGTAATTTTTGACTTTTAGATTTCATTATTGTTCACTTACCTTATTTACTCCACATGGGCAGCGAGCTTCATAACTTTCTAATTCATTTTCATCAGATCTTAGTGTTTGTTGTTGAAATGATAAAGTGAGGTCATCGTTTTCATTCACTTTACTCGCATCCAGAGAACCTAACTGTAAAGACAATGGAAATATAGACTAAGATACAGTCTATTTGTACAGTGTATTTTTCCTTAAAAGCTGGTCGACCGTTTTATGTAATATTTGGGGCTTTCTCGCTTTTTATAAAAAACATCCATCCCATTGTTTATTCTTTGAATAACTTAACAACGTTTAACTTAGTTGTTGTTAGAAACTTCCTTGCAAATGTTTGCTAACTTATATCGTTAGTTTAGTGCTACTAGACCAATTCAAAAATAAGATTCTTTTGATATCCTTCCCTGGTTACGTTTAGACGAATGAACTCCATTTAAACTTTTTCATTACTTCAAACTGACAACTATTCTAATCAGTATGAGGTAAAACCAACAAATTCCATATATTTAGCTGAACAATAGGAGAACTAAGGCCCAGTTTGTACAGTTTACCTGTAAATGGACATGAATCAGAAGTAGCATTAGAATCAAGCTTCAATGACTTGAGTTCTTGCAAATTACATTATCTGTACGACATACATTAGTTTACCAATTTTCAAGTGATATGTGGAGATAGGCATGACAAACTTATTTTGTAAATAGTTCTTGATGTTGTTTGTATTTATTCTGTTAGTTTTTACAGTTTGTATATTTACCACAAAATGATTGTACATGTTGTTTAAGTGTATGACCCTGAACACACTTTCTTCCACTGTTACACCCATAGCATGACACACGCTGTTAACTGCTAGCAAATACACTACTATACACACACCTCTCGTTCTCTATTGCTCGTGGTTGTGATAATTGAACTCTCAGTCATCTACTGTCTACGTTTATAGACTGCAACCACATTTATATTATATTCTACGTTTGGCTATATCACTGGAAGCACAACAATCTTATTAGAATCATTAATCATCTATAATTGTGGATTCTGGTACCAAACGCAATCTAAGCACACACAAGCCAGCTGACTTAATTAACGCCCATAAATTTTTCTTGTTTTTATAACGTATAACTGATATTTTATAATACTACTGTTTGTACGCAACAACTTTATTACTATTTTAAGCCCATATATTGTTTGGTCCACCATGGATATATAAGTTGAAACAATTTATAACTATTTTTTCAGGTAATTAGTTTGAAGTCTGGACACACAGTTGTGCTGCTAGTTTGTTTTTAGTTGTTTATTCACAAACTATCATAATTTTTATTGACCTCTTTCAAAGTCTTCATTTTGAACCGATGAATTTCATCAAATTGCATTCCTATTTCAATAATTTCTATCTAATCATTCAAAGGATCCAATTTATTGTCATACAGTTTAAAAGTGAACAGTTCATTTGGACATTTGAAATGTACAAATCATTTGAAATAGAATAAGTTTGTGTACGAATAACTGTTTAAGTTTACTGTGTCATGTTATCGCTCTATTATCTATTTATATTAATTATGATGTCATCTGACAACTTTGTGGTTCATCAGGTTTTCTGATTTTATTTAATCAAATGAATTGACTACAGTTTACACACATAAGCAGTTGCGATTCAAATCTTGAGTTGTACTGTCAAATTCCTAAATTATTTTCATAGCTAAATGCCGACAAAATACTCCTAACAGTTTGTTTCCAATCAAGCTTCAAATTCTAAACTAAACTTGGACGTCTCTAACAAAAAGAAACCTTAATTTTATGATTAAAAAAGCAAAGTCCCGTTGAATTATTTAATTCATAATACGAATACTGAGTAAAATGATAAAACTAACCGAAAGTTCATGGATGCTCTCATCTTCTTGTGTTGATTTAGTAGATTTTACAGATCCGGCTAATAATCGTCGACTAGTCTGTATGTGCATTTTGATGCTACGGCAACTTCTCTTTATGAAATAACACATACCTGTGGTGAGCCTGGTAACATAATGTTAGTTCAGTAAAATATGTTAACATACAGTTTTCACATTACCGAGCCGTATATTAATGTTATCTTCTTCAAAGTTGAAAATGACATTATCTGCATGCTTGAATCCAGGAGGAACGTAACTCTCTGGAGTAACTAAAATTAAAGCATAGATTGCATGTATACTGATAATTAATTTTGTGGTTCAATTATATACTTTGCTCACTGTTTATTTGTTTATTACTTTATTAACAACTAAACATGTCTTTTATAACAAGCAATTTAAACTTCCTAAAATCTATCACTCAACCACGTAAGCTTAGATCAAAATTCATCTCATAATAGCTTACTGCTTTCATATAACGAAAATCTGACTCTACTTTTGAGCGTTTTACATAACTATTTGGAGTTATTTTATTTTATTTTTCATTGACTGCTTGTAGTCAGGTGAATAACTCAAAAAGATCTTTCGTACAAAATGACGGTTTATTTTGTTTATGATTGAGGTTAATTTTAGCAACTCGCCACTCGTCTTTGCATCCAATTAAGATTTTAGGCTTAATTTTATTACTCCAACTTGTAATTAGTTGTTTAAAAATTGTTTACTTTTTTATCAGTTACTGGTTGTGTCGTAACAACTTTACAAACAATGACCTAAGGTCACGTGGTGTTTTACTGTGACAAACAGCAACACACAAACATGTTACATCCAGTTGATTTGCTTGCAAAAGAAAACTAAACAAAGATACTAGTTGCTTTACGATGAATTTTAATCATAAACGTTAACAGAGAAATGTTCCAGCTAAATTAATAAAATGGCTTTAGATAAGTATATAACCACTAGAGGATGATTGTCATAGAATAAAAAATAATCTGAAACAAGCATATACCCCGCTTTCAGTTTCATTTTCAAAAAGTTGTGCTCAAACTAATTAGGATAGGGCTAATTTCCTAAGCTATTTTATTTATGAAGACTTATCTATATGAGCCAAAGACTTATTTCATCTCATCGACCGTATCTGAAGAAATACCAATAGCCTTTTGGCATATAATAACTAGATTCATCATTAAGTACAGCAAAGCTCGCCAACGAAGCCCATACAAATTAAAAAGCAAATAGTGAAGTAGTGGAATCTAGAAAGAAGTCGTTGTTGAGTGAAACTCCATCTCCATATAAAGATGGCTAATAACATTTGCATGCTTGAGTCTTTTGCTGGGACTGTTATCTCATTTCGAATAGGAAAATACAAATGGAGGCCCACAGCTTGGTATATAAGTTATCAAATAGCTTACTGCCTCATATTTCGGTCTATTATTTCGTGATTTATGAAATTTACGTGATGAAATTTTGTGATTGACACTGAATACTTAAATATACCGTCTTTGAAACGTTTTATTCTAGTCCGTTTTTATAAAAAACCTGATCACAGCTTTTAAATGTCCAGCCTCCTTATTCCATCAGATTCATCTTGACCAACAAAAGGCTATATTTTTAATATTTGACATGCAAAATACTACCAGTTTTTGCACTAATGGTAAAAAAACCATCTCCATTTAAATTATCACTCATGTCATTGTTACTACCGAGATCACATGCACACACAACATGGATCTTTTTAAACTAATCAATACACAACTTTTAAACACAGTGTTTTGGAATAAATAGAAAACAACGGGTTAAATGAGACATATACTCATGAAAATAACCATTTAAATATTAGACATTTTACCCATATTACTAAACATGAATGTAAAAAACCCAATCAACAAATTCTTAAAGCACATTAGCGAAGTGATTAAGCCTTGTGCTACCAACTCAGTTTTGAACCAATCTGACATATTATATGCTGTTATGCCGTGACTACAGAAGTTATTTGTTTCACATGCAACCGCCTTTGAAACTGTACATCACGGATATAAAAATAAGAAACGCTTTTGTATGTTCCAGGCGTGTAGCATGATATTACGACCATAATGTGACGCAAGCGGTAAGACGTTTTTTAAAAAGTGGCGAGTAGTATGACATTATATTCACAAGTCTTTCCTCAGGTTTTTGATGAAATATTAAGTGCTACAATTTAAAACAAACCAAGAACGACTCCTTCTAAAACATTTTATCTGACCTTTGCTTTTACACTGACGTCAGCAGATTAGCGCGAGTATATTTGTTTGAAAACTATTACCTTTCCAGTGATGTGATGGCAACAACTACTGTAATCCCGTTTCTAGCAAACTGTGAATTAACAATATATGATGAAAATATTTTCGCATCTATTTAATATTTGTTCCTCAAACTAGGGAATTCAAAACATAAATCACGAAAGCTCAATTACCTTGTCATCTTTTTAATCATTAATTTCAATCAGTGTACTTGTTTTTGGAAATAATAAATATAGACCTTGAGTATTTTTTATGTACCTAAGGTTGAAAGTTTCAGTAGGAATTCCGGTCTAGAATACGCCGTTTCATGATTAAACTGGGTTCATCTGCATTTGTGAAGTCAAAAACGGTATTCTCATATCATTGTTAATCTTAAACCTTCAGATTACTGAGTTTCAAGATCGACTCAATATTTTGAAATGAGTAAATCTTGTAAGTAAACAAAAATAAAAGATGTCAGCAATATTTAAAATATCAACCTTGGTAGTTAACGAAATTTTCTATTAAAAAAACGGTTACCTTCGTCATAATACTGCAGTTTCATCGTTATCATTAGTTCCGATGGTAACTTGGATAATCTTTCTCCAGCAGTTCGAATATTTTTGAGTAGATTCAAAGTAGCATTCCGTACTTCAATTTCAGAGCAGTTTGAGATCTCGCATATAGTGCTGGGTTCTCTTTTGTTTTCAGTTTTTAAATCAAGTGATAGCTTCTCCTGGCCATAAGAAAGTCTGAAACAATAGGACTCAATGATGTTATATTCACAAATTTTGCTGGGATGTAAATCTTTGTCCGACAAATAAAGCGCAATGGTCGCTGATTTAAGCTAGACAAAACTTTATTCTGTATTGCTTAATAGACCTACAAAATGACGGTCGATGGCATCGAAACAACCCTTAAGCCAATAAACTATTTTTGAAGAGGCAGGTAAGATAGAGCTTTCTTTCAAAATCTTTAGCTCGATTCCTGAAATTGAGTAATTTGATGTTGTTTTATACCTTCCAGTTGTTTGTCATGAAAAGCGGATTCAGGAAAAATATCCCTGAAATACAAAACATAAGATACCGCAACCGCAAACAGCTTTTTTATAAAAACCAGGGACTGAAGTTCGACTCCTAGCTCATTAGGAAACATTTTCGACCACTATCAAAGAGATGATAAGGAAGCCGAAGTTTACATTTCCAACATTCTGTTTAACTGCTATAGCTGTCGCCATTTTAGTGCCAGCGATAAAACGTTATCTCTTACGAAAACCCAGCACTTGAGATATTTAAAACAAACCTTCATACACCACTCATAACAATAGCGATTGAGCTAAAAATGAGTTAACTGCTTTGAAAATGGTCTCTTCTGAATTTTGGTTTCTTTATAAAGGTTTAGATTTGTGGTAACGTCTTACCTTCAGCCACACGATGTATAAATGGAAAACCCTGAGCCATCTTTTACATGTGGTGGTTTTTAATCGTTTAGTAGGGAGTCTCTGAGTCTAAAATTAAGCGGAAGATAAGAAGCAAATAGACTGGCAGTAAGTTCACTAATTCACAAATAAAATCCTAATATATGATCTCTCATTGTTTTGCCATTTGATTATGGAATAGGTCCGCATAACTTGTTATTCCTTAAGGCATTTAGGAAGCTCACCGTTGTTCGAATTCATTATTCAGGCTTCAAAGGGTATTTTAGGTTTCAAGTTTTCATCGAATCTTGTTTTATTTGGTAAAGTTTAACAATAATAACAACTCTTGCTAGTTTACTTCTTATCAGCTCTGAACACTCATGTAACTCATAACTAAAGTTGTTTCATATTTTGACATGAATTTGTTTATTTCTTCCTAAATCCTTTTTATTTGGTTTGCCGCTTCACCAGGAAACGCAATGTGAGTTCTTTTTATGGCTTTAATATTTAAACCACAACTAATAAAAATCTCCTCAGGGTACTATTCAGTTCTTGATTTTTTTGAAATTCGTCGTGAGAATAAAACCAGGTACACCTGACCGAACATCCGTATACACGTCTTGTGTTAATTGAGTCACTGCTCTGAGTTTTCTCTTGTTTCCGTTAGTTGTAGTTTATGTTTTGTACTAAAAGATGTGGTAGTATGATGATATCAATCTTTTTGGAGAAATGTCTGTCGCTATTTATGACTTCCTGTAGCCTATGTGACAGAGAATCTCGTAGTAGCTGCAATACATCGGTGGAAGTGGTACTGAAAAATATATGCCTGCAAAGATTACTACAAAACGAAGTAATGGCCAAAATATGGTTAACACTTGCAAAAAACGCTTTCGGTAAACTGAGCTCTCTTTAAAATTAGTCATCAGGAGTAAATTCGTGATCGTCAGTCCCAAACGTCTTAGCACATCGACTGAGAACAGCATGATCGTAATTAATATGAATCTCCCAGGTAGAACTTATTATCACAGGGACTGTGCTATTTTCCAGAATAACGGAAGCACTGAGATCTGGATAGTCAGTCTAAAATATCATTGAAATTGGTAGCTTACAATTAACGTAAGTTCGCTTACCTACCTGCACAGTTTAATGTGTCTATATCGCAAAGTGTGACTGAAGAATTAGTCATAACTCAATCATCATTACACAAAACAGATCTACGCGTGCTAGATCTTGGACTGAATTGTGTAGTGACTAGTAGGTTCTCAAAAGAAATAGCTTTATAAACATTCGATGTTGATGCTAATCATGTTATTTTAGTGGAACTTACCACGAACTGAAGTCATTCGGTCAAGCTTTTTTCTTAGATTACGTCTAGATACATCAAGCGGCGCGTTTCCTCCGATAACTTCTCAAAGTACATCCACACATTTCGTTACACCTGCCTACCGCCAACCATCCCATCACATTTTAATTGGTCGTGGCGTCATTTTGTCTAAAGAAATTCGAAAAACATCCAAGGCTTTCTAATGAATACCATGGTCTGCACGCTTCTCATCATTGTTTTTTTCTAGGTAGGCTTTGTAATACGAAGAAGTTGACCATATGCAACTGCAACATGATACTGGCAATGCACAATTTTTGTGAGTACATACCTCTTTAAACTATAACTGCACAAACATTTATCCTAGCGTCATATCTTACTGCAATAATAAGTTGATTTTTCTTAATTATTTTGTATTTTCTATTTTTTTTACTAATTTGACGATACATACATAGTCGTTTATTCCTGTTCTGTGTTCATAAACACGCCTATTAAACTATTTGCGTATTTCACGCCTCCTTTATTTCTATTCCCTTTTTCTCTATTTCCTTTTTTAAACTCAACTCAATATTCTTGTCAATTACACAGACCTGATTTATTATTATTAATATTCTACTATTATTACTCTATTTTTTTAAATATGGCAAGTATAATACTAACATTATTGAAACTTGTGTATTATTGGATTTTTGAAGAAACCCTAAATGGCGTCTTCACAGCACTTATGTACCCATAAGATGTTTGTGAATAATAATAATAAACTTATGCAAATCTTTTGAGAAAGTCATGAACTCCTTTGAGTTTAAATCTGAGAGTATAAGCCGATGTCTGCTTAATTAACATGTCCACCGAAAACCATCACAATTTGTTCTGTGATGCAGGATTCACGTGTTAAATGAGTCACGAAAAATTTCTGCTTTAAAGACAATTTTTTTGTTGTGCCTGGATATAGTATATCGGCTAATCTGTCTCTTCAGTCTCTGCCAAAAAAAAGTAATTTTAAAACCTTAAGTGACTTATGAAATCCTAATGATCTTAGTGTCTTCATGAGGAGTTGGATGGCATAACTGACAGTTACATATTTACTATTTAAATGCCGACGAAAAATGCTAAGGATCAACAGTACTGAAACATAGTGGATAAAAAACGGCTTGAGTCAATGAAACATAACGCGCAGAGATGAATAGACGGCATAATTTGGCCTGTGAAGTAGTGATTATGTTCCTAGCACTTTTTATCCTGCTCTCTTGAAAAAACTGAAAACATAGGATGAACTGCACATCAGTTCGAAGTGAACTAATCCAGCGCGCCAACACAGTGTGATTTTAGCATAGGGGCATGTAATTTAGTCAGTTTCATCATTCTGAAAGTTACGAAGCCTTTTATTATTTTTAGTTTTAATTAAGGTCTCTTACGTTTATTCTTTATCTTCCATTAATCATCACCATAAGTGTGCTGACCAGTATTCACAGGTATTAATATAACAATAATGAGGGAGATATTTAGGTCACTGGTTACTAATGAGACATAATCTTAGTATCTGGGAGCTCGAAATATTTACGATTCGACCATTCGAAAGCACAGAATATTGTATTCAGCAAAGCTTCTTAGGGAGTCCATGGAGTACCCTAAACGCTTATATTCATAAATTAACCAGGGGAATAAGAGAAAATGTAGAATCCCAGCACGATGATAAAACAGTATTAATACATCACTAGAGGGGAGCGATCATGGTAAATTCCAGGTATCCTCAAATTACTTTAGAAATGTATATACTGTGAAGATGCTCCTCCTCTCGATTCATACAGCTTCCTCCATACGCACTCTGGACAGTGACTCCTAATGAACTCGATGTTTTGGGTCTGCTAAGTATGCTTAATTTAAGTAAATCGGTGGTACCCGATGAAACGCATTCTAAGTTGTTGAAGGAATTAGAATATTTTTTCTCAAATTTACTAAGCATATGTTTAAATATATGTCCGCAACCCAGGGTTGATTACCAAAAGGCTAGAGGAATGCTATAGAAGTCGCACCTTTAAAACAGAGACGAGACATGAATCTAAGAATTTTCGTTCAGCAAGCCTAACCAGTCTGGTTGTTAAAATTTTAGAAAAGCTTTTTTGGAAAAAGTTATGTAAGTATCCAGACAAAAAGCGGATCCTTTCTGGAGAGCATCGTGCCTTTAGAACAGATAATTCTTGTTTCACAGACCTAATAATAGCCCATGAAAGTTTATGCGCTCTTAAGGATCATCGGCGGCCTACGTTTACAAACGTAGCTACACCGCCACCACACCTCTTTTTATTGTTCGATCGATCCTGACTTTCATGGGCTATTATTAGGTCTGTGAAACAAGAATTATCTGTTCTAAAGGCACGATGCTCTCCAGAAAGGATCCGCTTTTTGTCTGGATACTTACATAACTTTTTCCAAAAAAGCTTTTCTAAAATTTTAACAACCAGACTGGTTAGGCTTGCTGAACGAAAATTCTTAGATTCATGTCTCGTCTCTGTTTTAAAGGTACGACTTCTATAGCATTCCTCTAGCCTTTTGGTAATCAACCCTGGGTTGCGGACATATATTTAAACATATGCTTAGTAAATTTGAGAAAAAATATTCTAATTCCTTCAACAACTTAGAATGCGTTTCATCGGGTACCACCGATTTACTTAAATTAAGCATACTTAGCAGACCCAAAACATCGAGTTCATTAGGAGTCACTGTCCAGAGTGCGTATGGAGGAAGCTGTATGAATCGAGAGGAGGAGCATCTTCACAGTATATACATTTCTAAAGTAATTTGAGGATACCTGGAATTTACCATGATCGCTCCCCTCTAGTGATGTATTAATACTGTTTTATCATCGTGCTGGGATTCTACATTTTCTCTTATTCCCCTGGTTAATTTATGAATATAAGCGTTTAGGGTACTCCATGGACTCCCTAAGAAGCTTTGCTGAATACAATATTCTGTGCTTTCGAATGGTCGAATCGTAAATATTTCGAGCTCCCAGATACTAAGATTATGTCTCATTAGTAACCAGTGACCTAAATATCTCCCTCATTATTGTTATATTAATACCTGTGAATACTGGTCAGCACACTTATGGTGATGATTAATGGAAGATAAAGAATAAACGTAAGAGACCTTAATTAAAACTAAAAATAATAAAAGGCTTCGTAACTTTCAGAATGATGAAACTGACTAAATTACATGCCCCTATGCTAAAATCACACTGTGTTGGCGCGCTGGATTAGTTCACTTCGAACTGATGTGCAGTTCATCCTATGTTTTCAGTTTTTTCAAGAGAGCAGGATAAAAAGTGCTAGGAACATAATCACTACTTCACAGGCCAAATTATGCCGTCTATTCATCTCTGCGCGTTATGTTTCATTGACTCAAGCCGTTTTTTATCCACTATGTTTCAGTACTGTTGATCCTTAGCATTTTTCGTCGGCATTTAAATAGTAAATATGTAACTGTCAGTTATGCCATCCAACTCCTCATGAAGACACTAAGATCATTAGGATTTCATAAGTCACTTAAGGTTTTAAAATTACTTTTTTTTGGCAGAGACTGAAGAGACAGATTAGCCGATATACTATATCCAGGCACAACAAAAAAATTGTCTTTAAAGCAGAAATTTTTCGTGACTCATTTAACACGTGAATCCTGCATCACAGAACAAATTGTGATGGTTTTCGGTGGACATGTTAATTAAGCAGACATCGGCTTATACTCTCAGATTTAAACTCAAAGGAGTTCATGACTTTCTCAAAAGATTTGCATAAGTTTATTATTATTATTCACAAACATCTTATGGGTACATAAGTGCTGTGAAGACGCCATTTAGGGTTTCTTCAAAAATCCAATAATACACAAGTTTCAATAATGTTAGTATTATACTTGCCATATTTAAAAAAATAGAGTAATAATAGTAGAATATTAATAATAATAAATCAGGTCTGTGTAATTGACAAGAATATTGAGTTGAGTTTAAAAAAGGAAATAGAGAAAAAGGGAATAGAAATAAAGGAGGCGTGAAATACGCAAATAGTTTAATAGGCGTGTTTATGAACACAGAACAGGAATAAACGACTATGTATGTATCGTCAAATTAGTAAAAAAAATAGAAAATACAAAATAATTAAGAAAAATCAACTTATTATTGCAGTAAGATATGACGCTAGGATAAATGTTTGTGCAGTTATAGTTTAAAGAGGTATGTACTCACAAAAATTGTGCATTGCCAGTATCATGTTGCAGTTGCATATGGTCAACTTCTTCGTATTACAAAGCCTACCTAGAAAAAAACAATGATGAGAAGCGTGCAGACCATGGTATTCATTAGAACGCCTTTGATGAGTTCAATAATAGCGATTTCCACATTTCATCTGGTTTAATTAAGTGGCTAATATTGGCGTTTTTTGATTGTTATAACGAAAAACTTTTGAGAATTGATAGTAAGCGTTCAGTTTCTTTGAACCTATCAGCGAACAAATTTGCTGTCTTTATATATCCATATACTCACAAGAAACATGTGATCAAATATCTGACAACAATTCCAAATGCTATACAGTTTTTAGCGACTAGGGTTTTCAGATCTTGGGGTCGTTTCCTTATGTGCTCAGCATCAACAAAATTCATCTAACAAATATCGTTGGATATGTACACTTATACACGGATACATTGAGCAGTCATCCAGAAAACATAAATCAAAATAGTCTTGAATAATCCGGCATAATTTCAAAGATGAGGTTGATACATTATGCTTCGTTTGCGTTATATAAAGACAATATAAGTCTGATTTAGAGTTAATAGCCACAGTCACGTGAGGCAAAATAGTTCAAATCAACATTTATCGATCCATTTTTCAAACCTTTATAGAATTCTATTTATAAATACGAGCTGTGTGAATATACCTGATTAATAATTCTTGAGAACATAGTGAGCTTTCTGCACTGACAACTAACGATTACATGGGAGGAATTGATGACTCTGTTGACAAACCTCCAAAATTTATTTACAATCTATGTGGGACATGTTGTACAGCTCAAGGCTGTGGAACTCTTTGTTTTATTTGTCTTATGCCAATATGCGCACTTGAGGAAATAGTCAAAGACACAACCAGAATTCGGCGTCCTTTTTCGTACTTATACGCCTATATCATGTCAATATTCTCATGTTGTTGCTGGGGCCCCATATTAGGGTGTTCCAGAAAATCGTTCCGACGCAAACGTGGGATACGTGGATCAATATGTTTGGACTGTTGCATTGCATGTATCTTACCTTGCTGTGCAATGACTCAGATGCTGCGTGAGCTCAGAGAAAATAAATTTGACTATCCAGATACTTCTAAATCAGGATCAGTTGCGGAAAGTGAAAATTGATAATGATCATAAGTACATATGAAATGGTTATAGATATTAAAAAATGTACATATAAAAATATGATTAACTGATAGAAAATATATACAATAAATGACCACTATATGCATGCTTTTTCACAGATAGTTTGTAACTAAAGGGAGGGTTTCTTAAAACATCACGTTACGTGAACTACATCACAAAATGGTCAAATGTAAATTTAAGAACGCTATTAGTCATGCGAAACATTCGCTTAACCCAGGTAATGTGTAAAATAAAATGCTTCACTTGTGTAGATAGAGAAAAACAACCCAAGGGAAGTACAATGCGAACTAAGGCTACTATTAAGCGACTTAATATGTACCGTAATTTCAAGGCCAAAAGGTTTGTATGGCTTACTTGTACGATGTTGACGTAGGAACAAAAATGGGAAAATAGTTCGCCCTGCACCTTTTCAATCAACTCTACCCTCCGGTACAGTTGCACGGGTCGAGCCTAATAGACGATGGTTTGGTGGGTTGGCTCTTGCAACTAATAGGCGTATTTAGGCAATACACGTGTTATAAGTCAAGATACGTTACAAAGTTTCAAAGAAGCGATGAAGATCCGAAATCCCTACGAAATTATTTTACGTCAAACTCGCTTGCCTATATCACTTTTGGATGAGAAGAAGACGGTATTAGTTTACTTGTGTTATATTATGTTGTAGAAAACTAAAAGTGCTCTTTTAACATCACAGAGCTATTCCTATGTATTTGGGGATAAAGCACAGCGCAAAAGACCTTCGTTGGAGTTTGATGATCTGTCGGTAAATAATTTATGTCTTTCGTTTGCCTATTTTCTGAATCAAGCTGTCTTACTTTTGTGGTAGATCTCCCGAGAAGTAGTAAATGCTCTTTAAATAACTACAAACGCTGTAGTTTTATCGGATGATTGAATGGCGATATGCACAAGTTGCATTAAATAGTAACAAGAAATCGCCAAACCATTGTCTGATATAAGTTGCTGGAACTGTATGTTGTGATCACAATGGAATGTATTCAGTTAATAATTGGCGTCCCAGGTTTCCAAGATTTGAGATTCTAATTGTTGGCGGAAGTACTGGAAAGTCTTATTCTCGTAGTTTTTATTGGTATCGAAAGCGTAGTGGCAATGGTAGTAGCACTGCATGTAAAACGAATTCGGCGCTGTTACAGCCTGTCAGGCATACATTTTTCCGTACGCTGATAAAGTCTGGCCCCTCAGACCTAATGATATACCTTGGCTTCCCGTTAGTCGTTGATTATTGTAGTGCAAGACACATTGGCAACTGGATGTAATTACTGCTACCGTTCGGTAGTGTATGTTACTATCTCATAACGTCACCGTTTCTTTAGGTAATTGCCATCTCCTTTATATGATGTTTTTAGTGCTTCATAGCACTAAGAATGTTGTGTGTAAACAAATCAAGGTTTCTATTAACACAAAGCTACATAATTGCTTTTTAGTTGTTAATTAAGTTCAGTTGATGAAAATAACTTCATGGTAGCTAGACACTTTGAATTTTGTTTACTGAATGACAGGTAAGATTATTGTAACAAGTACCCTGGTGTTGGATTTTCAAAACGTTTCGAAGATACTGATTATGTTATGATTATTAACGCTATCATTTGATGTAACTACCTGCTTGTTAGAATATCATGAAATCCTTCAATAAAAGTAGAAAGTAAATAATTTCTTGATTGACTCTGTATCGTTCGTGACCACATTATCGACGAACTTATTTGCATTCATGTAATTTTCGTCAAATCATTTTTCACCCCTTCAGTAGTACACACGTCAAACAACTAACACTTAATATTTTCGTGTTCTTTAGTCACTTGTACAACATGCTGAGTCAAATCAGTATTTGTATAACTCGACGGATGATAAGCATATGGTTCGATGTGATGATGGTGTCCGAGAATTAACACAGGATCCTCACTTCAAAGCTGGTCGATCGAAGAGACTATGGAATGAGTTATTTAAGGCAAGTTTCTAAGACATTTAACGGCGAGACTGTAATTTATGGACGACCTTTGAACGAATCTCAAGTGACCTTGGAAAATGTTAGTCAATCGGCAAACAGTCTGTAGAGTAAAAATATATTATACAAAACCAGGGAAATAAAGTGGATACACTTCTTATACGTGGTTCAAAAACTTGTCAAGGTTAGAAAGAGGTTCTGAGGTTGTGAAGTCGTAAAGCCTGCAGTAGAGGAAATCATCCATACAGCCACAGAATAGTCGGCCTCTGGAGCCATGATAAAGTCTCAAAAACCCTTTCAGCCTCGACTACATAGTTCTAATATTGTTTATGTGTACTTCAGCTGTTGAGTACACAAAATGCTACTTCTGGACAATGACACGACGCACATAACCAAGCCTATGTAGGAGTCTGTACGCTCTCCAGTCATCCGAATATATTGTAGTACCTGGCTGCAACCAGTGTTACTGGTGCTTTTATTATCCAGTCCGCGATAGTTGTCATAATTTGCCGTATTCGGGAATTATATATGCGGTCTTCATCACGAACTGACATCAGCTATAATGCCAGGAGTTTATTTAACCAAAAGGATGAAAGGCTTTCGCATTAAAATCCGAGATCTATTATCTTATGCCTGATTGATTCGTTCACAAATTATAGTCTCGCCGTTTTGTTTGCTATAGCCGCTCAGTTATCACGTTTTCTACAAAATTCGTTATGAACCCATCGTACGTTAGCATAAAGCACTGGAGTTGGCGCCGTAACCTTGAAATCTTTAAAACGCTTCTGATTGGCTCGTCCATAAATTAAAGTCTCGCCTATTTAACTATTATACAACATTCAGTTTGTCAGTTTGTTTCAAAGCCCCATTAACTATAGATTTATATTTTTTGCAACAATAAAGCTAATTTAATCTATTTCATGGTCCTAAAGCATCACCACTTACAGTGTATAATAAGACCTGTTAGTACATTAATGCGATCTAGCGCAATTCGAAACATTAGAAAGAAACTATACTAACAGTATCAATGTCTTGGAATAAACAGGAACATCACATCTATGTCGCTAACGTTTGTTCTATGTCATCCTATCTGAGACCTTCAACTATCGGTTTCTATTCGTGATTTCCAGTCGGAAAGCCCTACCGTTGCTGTTACCTTGACGTGCTGTTCGGGCTTGCTTAGCGTAATGAACCAATCGAACTATACTGACTGGAACAATCGTTCCTCAAGGTTCTACCCTACCAGATAGGTCGGTTGAACAGCAGTAAGGCTAAAAGCAGCAAACCCAAGGTCCGAAAGCAAAGTCGTACTGCTGACTACACAGAGGTGTGACGGGAGTAAGGTGTTTCCTTCAGACCAGTATAACAGCAGCGCTGCCTTTCCACAAGGAGAGATGGGGTCAGAAAAGGCCGACCCTAAAAATGTACACCGCCTTATCCCACGGATATCCGTCTCCAGCGGTAAGGTCTCAACAAGTACGAATTTAACACGAAAATTACCCACAACAACGTCGTGTGTGGCCGACCTCAAGCAGTTGTCCCTTGCTCACTGCTGTTAGGTCACTAAGATCACCCGTAACCCGATTTCCTTTTCAGGTACCTCCAGAGAACCCTCCCACAATGTGGGCAACCGGGAAGTGGTAACTGTTCTCATACCTCTAACAGCGCTCAAGACCACTGAGTTGGAAAGACTGGCCATTTGAGATAAAGTAACAAGAAAACGATTTCTTATTAATGAGTTAGTAAACTGAAATGTACTTATGTACAGAAAAAGAGACATTATTTCCTTCACCCAATATCTTGTTCTGGTTGTTATAAGACCTACGTAATTCTATTTCATTCAAACATTATTCTCACTTCTCCCACAATCAGTGAACATTTCGGTGATTAAAAAATTTCCCACGTGTGAACAATCGGATGGTCATTCTTGTATGGGATTAAGTTTTAAGGGAGAGATTAGTTATATTTCAAGAACATACGTCGGGTGGTGTTCATCCCTAGTCACTAACTAATCCAAAGCAAAATACTTATTAAGAGATATGCATAATGTGTATTAGTTGCTTGCGTCAATACAGGTTAATAGAAATTTTGTTTCCTGTTCTCCTTGTCAATTATTTCTTTCTATGATATTTCTAAGTGGTATTAACTGTTATTTCTTACCATTCATAAAAAAGCAATCACAATACAGTCCCCATCTTTATTTTATGTTACTCTATCATACTATCACTATTTCGCTGTACACTTGATAAAATCGCAGCACATAAATTAGAATTCCATCCACTGACATAATTCATCGTAGAATACGTACACAGTGTATTCTCAGATTCTGACCTATGCTGGATAGCTACATCACAGTATTAGCGTTACTGCCGACAAGAATGACCCTTATATAGTCGGTAAGTTAATCTGTGTTCTCGGAGATATATGCCCCGTTTAACAGGAAAAAGTACTAAGCCTTTGTTCTTAAATTCGGATATATCTTTTTATATTTTCAGGATAGTTCTTAAACGTTAAAGTAGTACAGTGTGTAATTAACTTAACATTAAGATGCTTCAAGCAATAGATTACTTAAAATTCAGTTCGAAACTTTTTAAACCTATCAAGTCAGTCAGTTATACTCAACATAGAGCTTGGCACAAATATGAATCAGGTCAGCTTATCACTAACTTTTATGTACGCTTCCAAACTCGCGACTTATTGCTTCAGCTATATAAAGAGTTAAAGCTAAGTTATTATCACTAATCTCTTGTGCCAAATGCCCTGGTATGGCCGAAAGTGGGAAGAGTCGGTTCTCCCTCTCGAAGTGCTCTCACATGGTGATGCGCTTACAGACACTGCCAGAGAAATCATACTAATTGCCTTCTCGCTAAATTGAGAGGACGAAAAGTGAATAACCGGAGCTTTAACGGAGGGCCCATCTAATAAAGTTGAAAAACCCCGACTCCAAACCAATGGTGCACATGGGCTCCAAGATCTTGAGGGAACTGTTATAACTTGTACCCTGCGTCCCATTAATGTACAACGGAGTGATACCGCCAATCAGAAAACAGTGGATTATCGACCGGACCAATGACACATAAAACAAGTGCGAGCAGTCTAGAATCCTTATCGGTCCTGCTTCCTGCCTATCCCTGCCTGTTAAGTTCAGAACATCAATCTCAGTCCCTGCGATGTGAATCATTTATTTCAAACATACTGGGGTTATATACCAACCAAACAGACCACATCGTACCATAAAATAGGAAACAAAATTTGCACGAGATTTAGCCAAAAGTGGCTGTGAATGTGAGGGACTGTAATTAATAAATTGGGAATAACTTAAGAATGGCAAATCGTATAATATTAGTTCATAGGTCAAAATAAAGCTCATAATAAAATAGACACGAATATGAATAGTATAGTTACTTAACAATTAAACGATAAAATATATGTATAGTATTGGTCCATAAATGGATCCTCAAAGTTACCATTCGTTATTCCCATCGGGATATAATAGGAACGAGTGGTGTATAAACCTATTTTTGACCATCGGGTTCCATGGGACCTCTTCTCATCGTTGCTCCACTGTGCTGTGGAGTAGATCTCTAGGTCAAAGGTCCCGGGAATGGCCCCCTAAGAAAACCACCCTTTCGATCTGGACATCCAGCCAGTATGCCAGCTCACGCACAAAATAAATGATAGCTACTTTGTGTGACGCATATCTATTTGGCTACCGCTTTGTACCAATGTTACGTGTTTATATAATAATAAATGAATCATTCTAGAACTCTCTCTAATAAATAAGTAATTTAACTCTTTCACCAGGTATTTGGGTATGAAGTACACTCTAAATGTGAGAGTTAATAATACTACTATCCAGTTGCCTAAACTTGAGTAGATGGAGAAGGGTTCGGACCGGAAACGTAATGGCTGAAAGTTAAATGCTTTAATCAATAGGCCACAGCTCCATGAGCTTCATTTAGCATTATTATATCATGAGATATTAAAAATATACCAAGTGTTTGTGTATTTTCTGTGTGACGTTTTAAACGATTTTTTACTGTCTGAATGTTTATTTCTAGGTTTTAGACTCTTCAGATGTTGTACTGTATATTTTGGATGCGCGCGATCCAATGGGCACACGATCTCCTTATATTGAGAAGTACTTAAAAACTGAAAAACCACATAAACATTTCATATTCATTATCAACAAAGTGGATTTAGTCCCTGTGTGGATAACAGTAGGTTGTATATATTCTTTTCCTATTTTTATTCCTTTATTAAAAATCATGCTATCGCAATTCTTCTGATGCGCGTCTTAGTAAAATATTCCGGTTGGACCTAAGTGAAATTTCATCTTGAACTATACAGCCCCTCCTAGTGTACCTAATCATGATAATATTATTGGTTTTGCATTATAAAATTAATATCTGGAAATAACCATAATCTTAAAAGTTGTTTTGATTCATGGAACAGCTCGTGTACTAGATTTTTGATGAAAGGTAATGGTAGTATGGATATAATGTATGAAGTCAAACTTTGCATTGTAGAAAACTAAAAGGGTATATACTGATGTGTCTCCTGAATTTATTTTGTCACATACCCCTGGTCGCCATTTTGTGTATTGCATAATATGCTCTGTATTCCGTTTATTCAGTAAATTGAATTTCTGTTAATTATATCTGATAATAATACTTTGTTGGCAAAATTGTGGCTCGATGCTCTGACAAGAATCACTACACTAGGCCCGAATACTTAGATATTAGTAATTTTTTCGATACTTCGGTCAAACTCAATTGGATTATACGTTAGCTTACACCATATTTTCATCGAAATAATGTCATTTTTATTACTGTGTTGTGGCAATAAAGCGTCATAAAATTAAAAATTTTGATTTGTTGGATAAGAAGGATAAAATGCCGAAATAAACATCCGATTTTTCAGAGTACGTGTCTCATAGTTGTTCTGTTACTTTATTCTAGGATATATTTTATTAAAATCTATATGGTTAAAAGCGTCAATTAAACATCTGATGATTTGTTAATCTGAACGCGTGAATTGTTACGAGTTAGCGTTATTACAGACATATCTGAGCCAATTTCCTTTTTAAAAAAAATGCTTAGATTCTACCCAGTTAATCGGGTAAACTGTTACTACTTAAGATCAAGAAACAACTCACAATCCAAAGCTTGGAAAACAAATAAATGAAACCTATTTACGCTATTACCTCCATACTTCCCTTTTATTGAATATAAAGTTCAACCCACTGATTATTGTCTACTTCCGGTTAATAACAATCCCATAGAACTCTGTCTGATTATGCTATTATTGGCTAATTAATTACTTTACAGTTATCCTTTTTTCAAAACTAAAATGTATTACCTATTACCCTATATTAAGAAAAAATTCTATCCTACACTTTATATCTAATTGAAAATTCATTCAGTGTCTAACCTGCTTCGGTTTGGGCTCCCGGGCAGTATCCAAGCCCTCATATAAATTGAATGATTTATGTGGCGTATATCTATTTGGTGCTTCTTTGTACCAATGTTTAGGTGTTTAAATAAATAAATAGGACCATTATTACAAGATGTGTTCATGGCACAAGCTGAAAATTTGGCTAAAGACCTAACTATTAATCCCCATTATGTCTTACTTGTAGTATACTTGAAAACAATTGACTGAATTCAGCAAATTACTACACTTGAATGATGGCTGTAGCAATAAGTACAATACAGTTTATAAATAAATTATCGGGTTTGCTTTTGAGTGCTCACTGACCCCCTATAGATCCAGTTGCAGTTTTGCATCCAACTCAATAACTCCATAACTTTTGGTAGGTATATCTTGACTGACAAACTATCCCAGTGTCCTAATATTCTGTGAGTAAGTAATTCTGTCACAAAGCATGTCATCAGGTTGAGAAGGTTAACACTTAAGCCTGTAAAGATATTGTTGTTAGTCATATTATATTCATAACTTGATTATTCATCAGAGTGTAGTCAATAAAACTCATAGTTTTGCATCATGAACTGAGCCTAGTTAGACTAACAGCTGATATCAGGAAGCAGTGAACTGCCGTTTCGTCCTGGTATAGGACTACCCAATAGTGCGCACTTACCGCTCCTTGTGGGGTCGAACTCCGAACCTCGAAGTCTCACAGTAAGCGCATAACTTTTAAACCACTAAGCCAGTATCCAATAGGTTACTGTCTAACTACAGTCGATTTTCGAAATTCCTCTATGCTATATTGTGGATAACTGCCTCACAACCGAGATAGCCGAATTCCACTGGTCATTGTTTCTCAATTAAAGTTTTCTTAATATTTTTTATACTTTTAATAAGTAATAAAAGTTAGTTTTTATCATGTCAAAAGTCGATGACCAAAAATTCCTGGGAAGAATTGTCCACAGTGTGATTTTATCCTTCTGACATATGGAAGTTTATAGTTCGAAGCCTCTCATTTCTGGAACTCGATTTAGGACTCAGAGCTGACTCAGTGTTATTATTAGATAAGATTTCTTCATGCTGATCAATTTGAAGTATAGAGTGGTTTCCCTTTTCTGATACTTAGTGTTCGTCTGTCTATACACTGGAATTTGTGCTAAACGTACTAGTCATGATTGTCTTTTGGAACCATCTAACAATCTATTTATTGAGCTCACCATGGAATACTTTTTCGATAATTAAAATAACCCATAGTGTCATTGAATAAGAAAAAGAGAATTCAGCGAAGAAAATTTTCTTTTCGACGAAATCATTTACTTAAGCTGTACATTCGTATATATAGTTATATGGAAAATGTATGTCTATAGAAGGATAGAAAGGATTGTATCAAAAAATACTTTTTCGTTATTCAATCCGTAATTTTAGGAATCTTAATGTGTCGTGAGAAATAACCTTCAACCTAACCATTGCTTTTCAAAGTCACCAATGGCAATCTACTTAACTCGTTTCAAGTTTTCTTATTCTGGCCAACGGTAATATATGCATTTATATATGTTTTTCAGATGAACATTTTCTGCTATATCTTTTACTACATATAGAAACGATGGAAAGCTATCTTATCTGAAGAATATCCTACACTTATATTCCACGCTGATATGACTAAGCCTTTGGGTAAAGTGGCTCTCATGGGTCTTTTAAGGCAAATGGCATCACTTCATAGTAAAGAACGACCACAAATATCAGTTGGTATCATTGGTTATCCAAATGTTGGAAAAAGTAGTATCATTAATGCTCTTAGGTATGTTGTGTATTGTCTTTTTGCTCTCAAAAGTACCTTTTTAACAAATATACTCACTATTACGTTTATATATATATACGCTTATACTGTGTCACCCAAATTCGATTTCTCATCAGCAATTCGCTACATCGTGTCGACAAAATTATTCACAAGTGTATAATCATGTGGGTGCTTTCAATTTATTAAATTGCGTTAGTTCATTTGTAATGAAGGAATTTCTTCAATCAGCTTTTAATCATTCCTGTCTGTTACTGACATACATGGTGTTGGTACAAAACGATAAAATGAAAATTACTTCTTAATAAATGAACCCACAATTGAAAATGAATGAGAATTGATTATTACTTAAGATTTTAATTTTGGTTAAAAACAAGTAGTGTAGTATAACATTTTCTGTAGGCAAACATGGTGGCCATCCTCTTAAACTGGCGTTTTATATCGACCGCTTAATTTACTAAGTATAACTTCTAAGCCGTAGACTGTCATCAGTACACAATGCTTATCAATACTGCTTTTTTTATTTTTCATTTGTTATTTCAAGAAATAAAAAAGTTTGTAATGTCGCCCCATTGGCTGGCGAAACAAAAGTATGGCAGTATGTTACTCTAATGAAATCTATATTCTTAATCGATTGTCCCGGAGTTGTCTATCCTGATGGTAATACTGAAGCAGAATTAGTTATGAAAGGAGTTGTAAGTGATGTCATTTTTGTGAATTAAAATAGATTGATATAAAATGTATGTAGTCAACCAAGCGTTCGCCTATCATTCTGTACTTGTTCCCCATTAAATTTTCCTGGACTTTTGAAGAAATAATACACTATTCCTATGAGTATTGAGGATTATGAGTGTGGAAAGTAGTGGATCTTTTGATGGTATTATGAATGTGTGTAAGTGAATAATTAAAAGCTTCTGGATGGCTTTCAAGTGCTATTCTATCAGATACAAACCATTTGCTCCATTCATATTCTTCCCCTTGTATATGACTTAGCAAAACAGGCAGGTACATTAGAATCTTAAAGATTCCCATTGTGAAAATTAGAACAACACATATAAGCGAACAATTGTTTTCAATTAGATCGTCATCAGGCTTTACTCTAATATACATGGATATTTATACGAAAATTTTAAACCAATCAAGGCAATATGAGTCAATAATCACAATGAAATAGAATAAGTCACTACACATAAAATAGGTAAAAGTACAAGTTGATAGTACGAAGACAGGTGAACGGATAGTAGTAAGAATAATAAACTATAATAACAAAACTCTTATCAATAGTTAATCGTTGGAAATAGAAGGTCAAATAAACATGGGTAAATAGACTAGGAATAGTAATCACAAAACATTAAAATCATTACGTAATAAGATGTGTGTAAATAATTAGATAGTGAAGAATAAAAAGAGGCGGATAATGACAAACAAATAATGGATGTGGAAATAAGGTTAACAATAACACAAATAGAATAAAATAAATAATGATAATAATAAAATTTAAAATAAAATTAAAAAAAAAAAAAAAATTGTTAGTTAAGTTATAACTGGCCATGGAAGGGATAGGGGAGTCACGTATTTCTTCTGTACACATAGATTGGGGTTATATGTACGAATTCCAATGGCTTCAGCTATATATAGGAGACGGGAACGGACTCCGTCGGGAAATGATGGAGGTATACGATAGATAACTCGAAATGATTTCGATTTCTCTACTGTATGACCGCTATCAATAAGATGTGCTAGTATAGAACTCCGAATAGTTTTTCTCTGACCCTTTATGTACCAAGTTGGTAAATGTTCACTCATTCGTTGGTTAAGTTGCCTGGTAGTACGCCCTATATAGCTATCTCCACAGGAGCAGCTGAATTTGTAAATGCACATGGAAGAGGCCAACTCAGGTAACTTATCCTTCGTTTGAGTAGACATCGCTGGACGACAAGAGAAGGTCAACGCAAGATTGGCTGCGTAGAATGTCTTGGTGATTACTTTGGTTAACCTATATTTCAGAGTGTCACTAGCCACATCCCCGTTGAATTGCACTTTCATGTATAAAGGTTTCTTACGAACAGTCGAAATCTCCGACTTCTTTATTATATCCTGCATGTATTTCTTGATGAACGCGCTGGGGTAGCCGATCTCGGTCAGTGAGTTGTTGAGAAATTCAAGCTCCTGACTTAAAGTGTCTACTGTACAGATCTTTTTTGCTCTGCTCGTGAGACATCTGACCAAATTTCTCTTGTACCGGATGGGTGTGAAACTGCAGAAGTGAGTATATTGGCATGAAGAGGGGTTTCTTCTATACACGCTTCTACTTAATGTGCCGTCACTTCGTCTGCTTAGCGTGACGTCAAGGAAGCTCAGCTTCTTATCATGCTCGCTTTCACCAGTGAAGGTGATCGCTGGGTGAACACTGTTGAATTGGTCTAGGAGTTCCTCTTTACTAGTGTTTTGGTCTACGATAATGAATGTGTCGTCAATGTATCGACAATATAAATCCAGTTTCTTAATAGTCTCATTGAGAGGTCCGTTTTCTAGCTTTGCTAGGAAGAGGTCAGCTAAAATCGGGCCCAGAGGCGAGCCCATGGCTATCCCGTCTATTTGTCTATAGTAAGTATTGTTGAAGACAAAATGTACATTCAGAGTGCATCTTAGGAGCAGTTCCCTTAGGCTATCGTTAGGCAGGCCAATGTTGATTTGTTTCTTTGATATTTGCTTGCATATAAAATCAATAGTCTCTATAAGTGGTACGTTGGTGAACAAAGATTCTACATCCAATGAGATCATATTTTTCATGCTTACATTAATATTTTCTACTTTGGAGATGAAGTTGAAGACATCTTTTACACTATTTCTAACAACTGATTTGTGTAAAGGTTCTAGGATTCGTACTAGCCACTTTGCGATTTTGTGGTAAGGAGAATTGTACATATCTAGAACTGGGCGTAGAGGAAGACCCGATTTATGTACTTTAGGCAAACCATACAATCGTGGTGTGAATGATCCAGTCGGCTTAATTGAATCGTAAATCTCAGTCGTAATTATTCCCTTTTTCGTTAGATCTTTAAGGAAATTGGCCAGTTGTCTTTCTACTTTATTATTGACGTCACAATTACTAGTAATTTTCTGAAATTTGCTAGAATCGCTAAGCAGTGTAGAAGCTCTGCAGTACCATATCTAGTACATATGCTATGCAATCAACCGATTGTAAAGGCTGATCTATCCTAAAAGATCTTTTCTGTTGAATACATATAGCATTTATTATTCAGTCATCGCTTTTGTCTTTTCTCTCACTCTATCGTCGTGTTGACATATATTTGTACAGTATCCACATCTCAAGGTTATCGTTATATATTTCCAAGCCTATTGTAGCCCTCAACTATTCTCTTTCTTTAAAGTCTTGAACCGATCAATGTTTAACCGCCATTGAGAACCTGGGAGCACTGGACGGCCGCCCCAACCTCCTTCATTCGTATTAGCGATAGATTTCTGTTCGGAAGGTTATCTTTCTTGTCCGTGTACAAAACTCGTTTTCGGTCGTAGATCCCGAACCAATCAAGGTAGTTATGTTGTTGTGCCGCATAATTGAGATGTGTTGTTGAAATTATAAACAGCTTTAGTGGTGTCTGATTCTCCGGAAAACCAATGTAAAGTTACCCTCCGGAAGTACATATTTATAATTGTAAATAATGAAGCAGTTACCCAGTAGTTAGGTTGCTTGACTCTCATCCACCGATCCCCAGGCTCAAACCGCGCTCCACCCACTCCAGTTTGGGCAACTTGTTGGTGCTGCTAGCCTTTACAAATATTGTCTATTCCGGAGCCAAGTGCATGAGGGCTTACTTGGTAAATGAGTCAATAAATTCAGTTCTTCGACATAAATTAAATTGTATAAAATGTTTAAAATGTTATGTCCCACTGCTTATAAATTTAATATTCCTTCACTGTACACTAATATTTTTCCCTTTAGGTGAGAGTAGAGTACTTACAGCAGCCTGATCTGTATATTCGTGATGTATTGGAACGTGTTAAACCAGAATTTCTACAAGCCAAGTATAATCTACCACCACTGTCATCAGACGATGTTCAGAATTATTTGCAAAAGCAAATTACGGATAATGAAGTAAATAATGAAAGTAGTAAGGATATCAATTCAATTTTATCACAATCCTCTACTACACCTTTATTATGGAATGATTATCCAGAATTATTTTTAGAAACCTTAGCTCGACAAAGTGGTAAATTACTAAAGGTAATTGAAAATTTGTTATCATTTTGTATAATATGTATCTAGTCAGTTTTATTAACCTGTTATGAAATCCGACCTTTATGATACACGTCACTTAATACTGTTCGTTTACGACGCCTATCTTGCCAATTATCGTTTTTCCTTAATTGATAATGTGATTATAGTACTATGACACTTACTTTTGAAGTATGAAAGAACAAAGGATTTTTCAGTTGGGGCGGCCAAACCAAGACGTATTGTCAGTTTACGAAGCTACTGATTGTCAGACTAACACATATCGGTAGGTATAGACTACCTGGTTTAGCGTCCTTGAATTGTCCTTACCAATGTTTAGAAACGCCGTGATATGACTGAGAATTAGTTGCAGTGGCGTAGATGAATTCAATCTTTGTTTTCGTTTAGATCTTTCAGCAAATTCACTTTTTGAATCGTATTGTCTACAGCTTATCCTTTCTATTACCACTGATATTGTTACTACTTCTATTACATTGACACTTGTCTTAATAATCTTATCTTACTTTGTTGATATAGTATGGTAGCTTGAACGAATATATATATATGTGATCGGTTCTACGTTGCTTATGACCGACAGTGTGACATACACTTCTTAACGTCAGTTCTGTTATTTTAGAATAGTAACTTACTCAATCCAATGGTTTCTTATGTTTCTTTCCGAATACGTTGTATACTCCTGTTATAACACTAAGGTTTAGATTATTATAGTCTGTTGTGTCTGTCTGATATCTACTTCGGTTTTCGTGCACATGAAACATAGAGGAAAGTTACACTTACATTATACTTGACTAACCCAGTTGGTTAGTTTCTGCTTCCCGTTAATTTAGAGCACTACTTTCCCATAATAATAAAAATGATAAGACGATAAAAATTTCGGTCAAGTAATAATTCTATCAATACGCGAATTGCACGGAGTTATATACTGAAGCAATTTCACATATATACATCAATATTCAAAAATTGTAAATAATTCTAATAACCTTTAGAACAGTGACCATCAAAACTTGTGAAAGCCCTAAAGTAGTACCGGAACTTCTCACAAATCCCTCTGAAATTGCTCTACACCTACGCAGAATATTCCACACATATAGACTGTGACTATGCAAAATCTACTCGATGTTGAAATTAACTTCGTTTTCCACCTACATTGTTGTTATATATTTTTTACGGACTAACTAGGCTGGTGAGCCGGATTTAAACACCACTGCTAAGCGTGTACTGAATGACTTTCAACGTGGTCGACTACCCTACTTTGTCAAACCACCTATGGAGGCGGAAGAACTTAAACAGAATGATGTCGATGAATATCCGGAAGAAATCATCAAGGTATTATAAAAAATTTTCCCCAATAATATCTTGTTATTAATACATTTTACATTTACATTGATATAGATGATTTCTCACAGTTTAGTAAAGACAGAATGTAGGACCGCTGTTTTTGTCCGAATTCCCACATTTCTACATAAAACTGAGAAGTTATAAACAAGAGGATTGTACGTAATGGAAAATAGGAATATCTTATGTTTTATAAACTAATAAACCTGTTTTATGATGGGTTTAACAAGTGGGTAATGGTAGTACTAAACGTAAATGCATTGGGATTACAATGAGAGTAAAGCATAAAATGTATTGTTGTAAATCAACCCTATTTTCTGACTTGATACGTGTATTACTCGCAGTAAAATTATTCTACATGCCTTCGCTTCTTTTAATACATAGTACCGTCGAACGCAACTTTTTTCAAGTTTCTAAACATAATTTATCGTTTTGAATAAGTAGTTTGACTCTTGACATTATGGCCAGAATAAAACAAAGGCAAGTCTGTGTTTTATTAAAACTGATAAAATGTTATTAACCCAGAAAGAGAGAGAACGAAAGAAAAGCAGGCTGCTAGTTTTCAATTACATCCGGTATTTTCTTATTTAAACGAAGTGATGCTAAGGAGCTTTCAAACTTAAAAACAGTTTTTCATGCCTGAAGTACAAAAACCAAGTATATGTCAAAAAACTAATAAGAACGTCGTACTATGAATCTCAATGAAATAATCAAATAACAATCTACTAACTATTCCGCTCCCTGTTATAAAAATCAGTTGAAAGAAGGAACTAGTTGGTAACGGATACAATGGGGAATACCAAGCCTGAGTATAATTCCAAATACCTATAAAGATAAATGGGCTTTTGTCAGTTACTGTTGATAAGATGAAATAATCGTAAAACCTAATGTAGGTTTGTAAGTTATAACAGTTATGCTATAGTAGAGACGGTATTTGTGATTTAGTTAATGAAGTAACCTCATACTGTTAACATTAGGTGTCATTCTGTAATATATTTGCCTTGTTCAAATTATTTTGTTCTGATTAATAGGACTTATCAATGGATGTACCAGATAAGGACCAATCCATTACTGATGTGATTTCTTCTACTGATACCGGTTTTGCAGAAGATTTATCCGAGACAGACTGTGTAAGTCCAACTTCCCTATTATCAGCTTTCACCAGGTAGTTTAATGACTCGTGTAATGTAAATCACAGTGAAAAAACACTATAAATTGTATGAAATAGCTCCGTAAGATTTATTGTTTGTAAAGGAACCACTACCTACATTCACTTGTATTGTGTTTTTATTGAACTTAATTATTTCGACGAATCCTTTGGCTCAAAACAATGTCACTTTAGGAATCACATGTCTTAATACATTCACATTAGAATTTACTTCGAAAACAATTAACTCCAATGACTACTCATGTTTGCTGTTACTGAATCTTATTCGTTCCCCGCTATCGGCTTTTGGGAAATACTTATCATAAATATTTTTATTATTACAATGTGCGGAGAACATCCTGGAGTTTTGCTACTGTTAAACTAATGTAGTAGCTTTATATGTACTTGTCGTACGGATCGTGTCAATTTCCACGTCGTTCAGCTGCCGTGTTTACACTACATCAAGAAGTTCGTCCTTACCCATCACCTATATTTTTATCTTGATCAGCACTTTGTTTTCTGTATTATTTTAGAGTGATGGAGAGTTGGAATCAAGTAACGTACTCAACTACGATCTGAACACTAATGATGATGGTAGTGTTAAAGCCATAACAACTTCAAAGGAATCAGTCCAGATCTTGACATCAAAACAAAAAAGAAGTATGGACAGAGCTATACGACGTCAGAAAAATCGTGCAGGCCGTCAATTTTACAAAGAAATCCGTGATCAGCGACCTGGTAGAAGTCCTGGAGGTAATAGCCAAGATCTAAGGAAACTAAATTGCCGATCCAAGGTTAATAAAAGGCGCTAATGAAACAAATATTAAGATTGGATAAGGGTCGACTATGTATATAATGTTATTTTGTACCAATACATTTTACACATGGATAAAGGTCTTCTTGACACTGACTGCAATTTTCCTTCTTGTAACCAAAAACGACGCCAAGTTGTCTGCGACATTAGTCACCTTATTATCAATAAGTCTAATAACCAAGAGTTAGGTGTATAATTGCGGGTAGAAACTTCATCATTGTCCTCAAACAATTTTTGTCAAGTCAGTATTGAATAATATTGTTTGCTACACCTTTTTTCATACCTAACCGTAGGATTATGTGCCACTATATGTTACGAACGTGCTTCACCGCGTGTTGACTGTGGATGCGTGCCAAGTCCACTTAGCAGGATAAGTTTATTTGGAGTAATTAGTAGCGTAGTATGTTCACTTACTCTAAGGTATGTATCACGCCCGTACATATCATGGGATGCCAAATGATGCTCTAGGGCTAAACTGGAAAGGAAAAGACCAAACTATCTATCCTCTTACCATTGTTGACTGTATTATACTATTTTGCCATCCTGAGACAGGTCGGCGACGGGATCTTAGCTCTGTACATGAGGCTCAAGTCTGGAACCAGCGTTCCCACTTTCATATAAGTAAATAGAGGTCTTTTGGCAGCACATCTGCTTTGTAACGAAAAGTTTGAAAAGTGAGTATTCTTGCAATCACATGCGGGGTATATCTTTTCGAATAGTAGCCAGTGTTTGGAGGGAGAGGGAACACAATTTACATGGACTGTCATGTCATTGTACTGTAGGGAAAATAACCTTCCAGTGACACCAAGCAATGTTTCGCTGTTAGTATAAGCTACTACAGCGAAATTGACCGAAGATTTGTATCGACTGTAAGGAACATATTCGCGGTTGTTTCATGAGCTCAAGATTGTTGAAGGCTACTATGGCTGTCGTATAGTTGGACATAACCTATGAGGAACAGTCTCTGAAAACGACTGCACTAACTTCTGTGAAGTTTCAGTTTATTCGCACGTGGTCAAGAAGTACTCAATTAGGTTTTGAGGAAATTTATTTTTGGAAACAGCAGTGGTTGTAAGACAAATTAACCATGAAGGTGGCCTTAATTGGTTCCAGTAGTGCCGTCGACACACTGGATCACTACCTAAACTAAACGAATTTGGACAACACATATGGCATTCAATTGTAGAGACCAAGAAGGTTTATGGCAACTTACTCGCCGGTCCAAATTTGTAGTACCGGATGCTGGTAACTAGTCATCGGTTAAAAAATGTGAACTATTTGAGAATGGATTGACGACAACCTAAGAACATCCTACATTTTCATGTCAGTGGAATACCTGGTAAATCAAAATGAGATAAAAATGTTAAGTGGAGAGAACATCTCTTAAATAAGTCCCTTGTACCAGTTCGAAGGATAAAGAATCCTAACCGCTGACTATTCTTAAATAGCAGTTACTGACTACAATCCTAACTGATATGTATCTCTCATACATTCCCAGTAGCCCCTCTCAAGTCCATGTACAGAGCGAACTTGTGCTTCATGCGATGTCCAAGGACATTAACGATACTATAGGTTATCATGGGATCACTACTGACCATCTTACATTAAATGAGATGTTTTTGGAGATTCTTGGTACAATGCGAGGTTCGAAACTCAATTTGACCTAGTGATACGCTCTGAAGTAGTATTATCCTCGCAAAGTGGATGAGAAATACTTTTCCGAACTCAGAGGTGAATTAAAAATCAGACATGCACTCACACTGTTAAACCGGTTAGTATGTTCTTCAAGGTTACTAGTGAAATATTGGCTCTACAGCCATTTTCGCCGGAGTACGGTTCTAGATAGTAAGGAAGCAGGGTAACCAACGACAGCCCTACTGAAACATCTGGATGATGTGTGGTTCACAACATCCCACAGACAAACTACTCTACGAAGTTTAAAGTTAATCCATTTCCTGACCTCCAAAACAAATCAGATCACGAAGTATTAACACATCTTCCAGCTACAAGACGTTCCCGATAGCCTCACATCATCAGAAAGAAGTATTTCGTAAGATATACGTTGCCAGGGGTCGTTAAGGCACATTAGAAAGAGCAAAGCCACAAATACCGGAAGGCAAAAAATAAAAACGAGACATTTTGTATTGAGACAAGTAATAACTCTTACACATAAATACGATGAAAAAATAGCAATATGAATACTTGCCACTTCCTCCAAGTACCCTGGTACGACAGGGGTCGGTGGAGTCAGCTCGCCCTCTCGTTATGCGCTCACATGGTCACACGTACACAGACACTGTTAGGAAAGTCTTACTCACTACCTTCTCGTGACGGGGGTGATTTTGCGAAGTTGAAAGGACGGAAAGTGAATACCTGTGGCCGTAACGGAGTTGGTAGATGTCGAGGATCCACGTAAGGAAGTTGGAAAACCCTGATTCCAAGACAATGGTGCACATAGGCTCCTGGGCGAACAAATAAAGTACGGACCTACTGTTGGTTACCGACTACCATGAGACTGCATCTCTTGACGCAGCTCCACTGCCTTGTGGATTAGACCCCTAGATCAAAGGCTCGGGGAATGTCCCCCCAAGAAAACCACCTACGTCGGTTTGGGCACCTGGGTAGTATTCCAGCCCTCACACAAATAGAATGAATTGTGTTGCATATATATTTGGCGTCTCCTTGCACCAACGTTTATGTGTTTGAATAAATAAATTAAATCAATACTAGTTAATGACATACTGTGACAAAATACAACCGTATGGTAAATTACGAATTATGGACGAAATACACAAAGCCAATACGGTTTATACATTATTTTGTCAGTAGAAAATAGTGTTTAAGTTCTGACTGTAGATGCACACGATATACAGGAATACAAAGGATTTTCTCTCAAATTTTCACTTTTTCGTAACTTTCTTGTTCCCTTGACCGATTGCACCAGGTTTTGCGGCTAATATTTTAGCGTCTTTCAATTTCTTTGCCTCTTCTTTTTCTTTCTGTTTAAATGCTATATCACTTTCATCCAACTCCTTTGATTCCTTCTTTGCCTGTTTTAAGGGCTTTTTCTTACCACCTTCCCGACCCGACATTCTGGGCAACGCTCCTAGAGTATCGTCCACTGATGGGGGTTGCGAGCACTTGAAGGTCAAACTGTCGCAAAATGATTGGTGCGTCTCATCGACAATTCGTGAAAATTTTCAGAAGCGGTCAAATCAAGACATTTTTGGATTTGAATTGATTTCAGCTACACTATGTCTGATAACGTTCATTCTTCAAGTAACGAAGACGACTCCATCGTGATGATGCATGATATAGGCCGAATCTTCAATGAAATTATATTATCTCGAAGATTTACAAGTTGGGACAATTTTGAGACCTGTTTGAAAGAAGTACTTAAGGTAATATGACCTCTGGGGTTAATAATTATTTTTTTAGTATACGCATACTAAGTACGTTATGTCAGTATGCAAAAAGAACAGTGATGATCCAACTCTAAAGTACTTTTTCGTGAGATATGTCTGTACATATGGACGTAAACGCAGTTCGTCAGAGTCAGATGCTTGCGTTCAGGATGTAGATGATGATAGTAATAATCATTCTTCTGAAGAGCATACAACTTCTAACTCGCCAACACAACCTAAGCAAAGGAGACGACGTCGGTCATCTACGTATGCCTTACTTCAAATGAATTTATCCTTCAGGTCGAAATATTGCCACTGTCAATCAGGATTTTGGGTCCGGGCAGTGAATGGTGAGTTGAAACTCACCTCTATTAAAACCGTGCACAACCATCCTTGCACAGAAGGATATATTTCTGTCGATCCATCGAAACGACAGTTGACCTCAAGTGAACGCTTGTGTTTAAGAACGTTTCTACTGAGTAATACACCAACTCGTAGCTTACGGTATCTGGTTTCTTTGAAGTTCAATAAACAGCTTACCAAGGACGATATCGCCAGAATGCGTTCACAGTTGTACCCAGGTTGTTGAACTCACATTGTAATTAATTGAGTTTAGACACTAAAAATATCAATGACATCTTACAGCGTGTTCAAGCGAACACTGAAGTAAAAGTATTCAATGAAAATGGGAATATATCTATGATTTGCTTCGGCGTCAAGGAGAAAATAGCTGTTTACCACGCTTTCTCGGAGGCAATATGCATTGATTCGACTTATCAGACCAACAAAGTTGGGTAAGTAACGATTAGTAATAAATTTATCTCGAAGTTTTCCACTGTTCCAGCTAGTGGTGATTGATAGTCTTGGGCAAGAGCACACTGTTATGTATGCTCTTTTCAGGCAAGAACGACGCTAAAATGTCGTAAAACTATTGCAATGCTTTAAAGACATAATGTGTGTTAGTGTGTGTTCCTTTGCCTCTATAAGCTTTGTAGACTTATCTCGATATAGCAACTGGTGGACACGGAAATACATAATGGACTTGGTTCTTCGTGCGCTGGACAACATGTCAATCTCTAAAGAAAGTGGTGATTTGCTAGAGAAGTTCACTAACAACTACCACTCAATCCATTCTCTTAGTGAACATTTGGCCAGTAAACTCATCCATTCATGCCTCGAAGCATCAAAAGACATATGCGCACAACTGATGAGTTCAATCGCTGCTAATGATGAAGCTAAAACGTCAGAATCCATTGTTCATACAGACCATAGCTATGCTTCTTGATAACAAGAAGTTCTAATATTGTAATCTTTTTAGTTTTACATAAATTCATTTATATGGCCATTGACTTATTCTTATAGCGTAACGGCAGGGAGTGTACTGTGCAGTCTTATGTGGCTGTGAGACAGGGATGTTGTTTTGCGTTCTTGTGTAATAATTACCAGTTTGGCGCACACGCGATTAGTCATACATACCGTTTACCAAATACTGCAACCTTGGACATGGTGTATCATACTAGTAGTTCGAATTTCGACCTGTCACGATAGATAAGAATTGCCGTAATTAAAAGACTGGTGCGTTATAAATGAAAACGTTTATTAAAGTTTGAATCTAGCACAAATGATCCATTAATAAATAACTTCTATTTCTCAGGAATTGTTCTCGTTAA